CAGGGCCCCGCGCGGGGCAGTAGCCCCCGGCCTCCCGGCAGGTGCGTGATTTACCGCGAGCCCGCCGCCTCGGTCCGAGCCGAAATCGCTGTGTAGTGTTTTCAGTCATGCAGTAGCTTCATAGCCAAGGAATGTTTTTCTTCTGAAAATACCAGCACTCTTTCAAAAGCCGTGTTCGTCTGTTTGTTTTCCCAAGCTGTGTTTTGCACGTGAAAAGCGAGTTGTGCAGGGTGAGGTGGTCAGTCATAGCTCTGCTAACAGAACTCCAGTCCTGACTCCAGATTCCTAGTCCTTAATTATTAGGTAACTCTCACCTTTATCATAGAATCATTATAGAGTGGTTTCGGCTGGAAAGGATGTTAGAAATCATATGCTTCCAACCCCCTGCCGTGGGCAGGGGCACCTTTCTCTAGACCAGGTTGCTCCAAGCCCAATGTGTCCAACCTCGCCTTGAACACTGCCAGGGATGAGGCAGCAACAGCTTCTCTGGGCACCCTGTTCCAATGTGTTACCACCCAAACAGTGAAGAACTTCCTTATGTCTGTTAATTTCACAAATACACTGGTCAGGAAGGTTTTAGGCAGCATCAAAGGATGAAATAGTGTATGTGTTCAGGGACCCGAATAAGAAAGTTAAGAAGATTGATGCCTCTCCAGTCTGTCACAGTTTTTAATGCAGTTCGTAGCTCACTGTTTTAGACACCGTTTGTATCTCTTCAATTTTATGCCCAAAGTATAATCAGCAAGCAAATTTGTGCCAAACTGAATATTGCTTCTGCTAACAAACAGCTTAGAGTAGTCCCAGTATTTGGGCCTTCTTAATGCTTTTTTGGAATTGTGTGAATTATTTTGTGGTTTTATACTGGAAGAAATAAGAAGTCTGTTAGAGACTTTTGTTTCTCTGCTTCTTTAAAGATTACTTTTTCTGGAGAGTTTGAGCCAGTAGATGTTTAAGATAGATCTGTACAAGCTTGCCTTTCTAAAGAAGTGTTTAGTGGACACTTGAAAGGTAATAAATGTTAGACATTGGAAGTAGGCATTCTGAGAAAGTTATTCAGCTCTAGTCTTTTTCAATCTGCAGAGTATTTGCAGATTTTATGAAACAATATGAGTTTCAGAGCTTGTCAGTTAAATGCTATTCAGAAGTTTCCCTGCTGTCTACGGTTTCCTCGTTAAAGCTACTTTTCTTTGTAGTCTTGGAAAACAAGCAGGCTAACCCTGCCCCTCCTTTACCCCACCAGCTTGACACAAACAGCATACACAGGTCAACTGCCTGTACAAATGAAAAAAAAATAAATTGCATCCTTTTCTGCAACTTTTTTAGCGAACTATTTTAGTAGTATTAAGTAAATAATTTTAAGTCTTTTTTTCTTTAAATAGTATGAGACAGTAATGATGTACCATGTACTCTTTGAATTCATAACTGACACAATCCATGCTACTTATCTTGATACAGGCAGAGGAAATGTTGAGGTTTGGGTTAGTCAAGGTATATTGAAAATGAATAACAAATCATTATGATCACAGTAAACCCGCTTGTATTTTAGGAGTCTCAAGTACTAAAGGACATCCAGAACGTCTGCTTTCAGTGGAAAATTCTAGAGAGCCCATGTTTTTATCACAAATGGTAAGAAATGGTTAGTGTTGCTTCCTGCAGTCCTGGTCTAAGAGAACAGAAGTTTAACAGAAGTTGCAGCTTCTGTAAAAGCATCTCAAATCTTTGGCTCAGCTTCTGTACAGGAACTGTGCAGCTGCTTTTGTCTTCGAGTTGCTGCTAATGTGATACTAATGCTGAAGTGTTCAGAGGGGCTTTGTTTACTGCTGCCTGTTGCATAATTAATACTAAGGCTTCTTTTAAATTTTAGTGTAATTGATTGCACATGGCACAATATCTATTAAAAACCTGAAACTGCAGATTTTTTTTCCTCTTCATATCATAGCTAATGAAGTGGTCATTAGTTTATATGGAACTCTTTAATACTTACAATTACAAGACTCATTTCCTTTTGATTTGTTTGTTGTGCCTTACATAGAGTGGAAACTTGTCTCTAGGGCATCCATATGTCAATAAGCATGCATGAGGATAAAATTAACCCATGCTGTGAAAGGACTGCAGTAGCGTCTCTGCGTGACTCGAAGTAGAACTAGTGAGTTGAACAACTGTGAAAAGTATGGTGGAGTACTTCACCATCAAATAGTAAAGAGATTTTTACCTTCCTAACTTGCCTTTATGGCTACTTGGAGACTTTGATTATTCATGGACTTCACTTTGAGAAAATTCAGCTCTGTCCCTTAAGTTCCACAGACCATGTTGTGAGTACTTCATTCTTTGTGTATGAGCATTCCTGAATTGTTTGAGATTAGCAGCTTGTATAAACTTACACATGTGTGATTTCACTACTACTTCTTTGGCCATAAATGAGGAGAATGCACTTACTCAACACTTGGAATATATACTTTTAATTTTAATTGTGTTTCTGGGTTTTTTGTCACTAAAATGTAATGTGAATTCTTGGCTACAAAGTCCAGATGATTCCGTGGTAGAGATCTTAACACATCTTGCTCCAAGACCTTGCGTTAAGAATGTGGAGATGCTTACATTTCTGTACTCAGCAATTCCATCTGCTTCTAACATTGTGGCCACTGATCCAGAGGCTTTGATGTATGCTTTTCTGCTCTTCTTATTCTGAAGGACTATCCTAGAGAAGCTGCAGTACAAGAAGATCCTTCAGTGCTACTGGAAGATAGCAGAAGACCTAAAGGTGAGACACATTGATGCACTGCCACGGCCCTGTTTTTGTAATAAAACTGATTAATTGGGGTAAAACTGAGCTTTCATTTTATTTTGGGTATTTTTCTTCAATATAGAAACTTTAGAGTGAAAATATTCAAATGTTTGCAAATTTTATTTCATTCTTGCTGGCATTACACTACCTTATGTAGCTCTTTTGATTAACTGGGAGGGACTTCTACCAGTGCACCAACAGTGTTGAGATTCCTTTTGATAACTGAAATATTCATGTCTCTGAATAGAGAATTTTGGGGGGTGGAGGGGAAACACCTTGTTTGGATGCATTTTACTGTTGTACTTGTATTACAAATGCACCTGTACCATAGAAAATACCTTTTTAATCCTTAAGAATCTAAGGAATCACATAGTTGCTGCTTTTTCCTGTAACTTGTGAATCTGCCAGTTTCACATGCCAGACACATGCCAGTCAGTTTCAATCAGATTTTGGGAAGTGAAGACCAATTAAATAAAATACACTTCTGCAGGTTTCTTGGATATCTGTAGCTTTGTAGAGGAAAGAAACACAAATCAATACCTCTGTTTAAGGCAAAATATCAATACTTCAGTTTCATCTTTTATGCACACAGAGGCAACAACTAGCTGGCTTGTCAGCATGTGTGTAGTAGCTGTGTATAATCAGCAGCAGGGAAACACTGAACCTTCCACATCTTGGTTTGTTACCTCTGCCCAGTAAACAGTGGATGAAGGAAAGCCTGCAATCCTTTTAGCATAATTTAAAGGTATTAAGAAAACTTGTAATTTGTTGTGACTGCAGGAGACTCGTATCAACAGTTAGAATTTGCAGGGTTTTATTGGGTGGGTTGTCTGAGCTCCAGTTACCATTTATATGCCATTTTCCCACAGATTTTATGAAGATAAGGTACTGTCATTTTCACAGCATCAATACTATATAAAATTATGTTAAGTGAATCCTACTCTTACTCTCATAATGATTTAAGTCTGCTGCATAATGAAGGGAAACAACTTGTTACTACAGTAAATAATGTGCTTTGTGCAGGCAACACACTCTGCAGCTAAATCGTACATGTTGAAATAATGCTTTCTGTCAGCATCTGAAAAAGACATTTTGTGTCAGTTAACTTGACGACATATGTTTTGTGTCCTTCCCTACAGATGATGTTGTTATTTCTCAATATACTACTGGCCAGAAAGAGGCTTTGAGAGCAATATTAAAGCAAAAGTAAGTATGTTGAAGTTCTTAGCATCTCAGCTGTTCTGTTTCTGTACAGATGTTGTATTTCCTCAGTCTCTGCCAACATTCATAGCTGGTAAGGAGAAAAATATTCTTTATTGTTCTTTGTTAATATTCTTTTTCTGTCTGTGAAGGTGTTTTCAGTTTATTTTATCATTCAGAGCTTACTGGAGTATCTTGGTGGTTATGCATATTGTCGGTAATGCCTTTAGACTATTTGAATTTATGATTTCATGACATAAAAGTGAAGCAAGATCAGCTCTGATAGAGAACCCAGCTTGCATCAAACCCATGTAATATTTTAAAGACAGATGAGGTCACATACTGTTTATCCATAGGCTGGAAATCTTGAAGATCAGAAATTTAGCTGACTTTGCTACTAGTGAGTGCATTGAGCTTTCCCATGCCCATCACAGAGATGTACCTTTTATACTAAAATCTGTAACATAATCCTGATAAATTCCTTGTGTCGTGCTATAAAATGAGAATAAAATTGTTTCTTAGGTGTCGAGAGCATCAAGGAGAAATGCTTATGTAGGTAGTGATATTGATGATACATGTGGGAAATCATTTGCTTGGAGGAGATATGGAGAAAACAATGCTATTTACAGGCACTTGTTTATTTTTACAGGACCCAAAATGCTCCTGTGCTTAAGGAGGTGAAGGTACAGCTCTTAGGAAATGCCTCCACAGGAAAAAAGGAAAGTGTTGGTCGTGACACCTCTTCAGCACATAGGGAAGTTGATTCTGCAGCAACCATTGCAGCAGCAACTGCTGCTGCAATTGCTACTACAGCTCCACTTCTTAAAGTAAGTAGCTTGTGGCGATACTAGTTTTTTGTTGGCTTAAAAGACTAGATGTTCTGAGCCAGCCTGAAATTGTTGGTAGTAAAGCCAGAGAGACTGAATGTGTATGCTTACTGTTCTCTGTATTAGCAGTCTCAGACCTATGGACCAGTATACCTGAGAGAACTGATTTGGATTTGGCTCAATAGGCAAATGGATAGAGACCATTTGATTTCTCTTTTAGAAGAACTTTATAATATTGCTAAATCACCAAACATTAGGGCTAACTAGGATTTTATTTGTATCTTTTGGGATTCCAAGTCATTCCATGATGATGGGAAGGAGGTTTTATTCTCTTCATGCTTCCATCTCTTCTGCACAAAGGTTTTTATCTCTTCCTTTTTTTTGTTTTCCTTCTGTCATGCAGGTTCAAAATGATTTGGAAGCAAAAGTTAACTCAGTTTCAGCATTAATTCATAAACTACAGGAGGCAGACAGACAACTGCATCATGTTGCTGAACAGCAAACTAATATGAAGACTCTTCATGAGAAGCCCCACTGTCACGAAAGAGTCAGTGAGCTTGAAAAACAAATGAATGCTTTCATGGTGCAACGGATTCAGCATCTAGAAAAGTTACAGGAGCAACAAATGAATATTCAGGTATCTAAGTAACAGTGCAGAAGCTTTAGCTTAATAATTTCTTCTGTATCCCTGTGTTAATATTATAATAATTTGGATCATGTCTTAGTATGAGAAAGAAAGAAAGATCCAGTGGCCAGCACATGAGCTTAGAACTTTTTGGGAGAAGGTTTACTTCTGATTCTGTTCCAGATATCTGTTCCACTACCCTCCCTAATTTTTGTGTTTCTGGAAAGTAAAAGCAAAAATTTTGAAATTGCTCTCATTCTTTACTGAGAAATCGTTTAGACCTTTGATAACTGAGGAAACTTTAATTCAGTGAGTATCCAGTCAGATTAAAAGTCTAAGAACAATTATAAATAATTTCTTCAGAGAGTCCTGTGTCAGATTAAAAGTCTAAGAAGAATTATAAATAATTTCTTCAGGGAGTCCTGTGTGCTTTTTGAAAGGCAGGATAATGCATGTCTGTATTCTGAGGTTGTTGTAAATGACTTTTCTCTCAAATAGCATGTCAAAATCTGTTCAATATGATTACATGGCAAATATTCATGCTACAAGTTTTACTTGAGGAAACTAATGCATATATCAGAAATCCTTTCTAATTTTGTCTTTTAGTCTCATCTCATTACCTCTGCAGTCAACACAGGTGGCTTACAGCGAATTCATGAACCTTCCTCCAGCCTCATGACAAAACAATCTGAGAGGCCAGAACAGCGATTGCTTACTAACGAAACACCTTCGTGTCAGAGAGGTTTATTTCCTGCCAGTGGTGGTGCACCAGCCCAGGGTGAAGGTAAATTCTGAGTATCTTATTTTCAGTATTAGTTTTGCATTAATTTTATTTCCATTAATATTGGATTTTACTTCACATCAGTAATGAGTAGTAAATATTTCTGTCTGTATCCCTGGTTTTATTGCCTAATATAGTATATAACATCTACTACATGTTCTGAAAATGTTCTAGTTTAAAGTGAGAGTTTCATATTTAATAAGTGCTTAATTAGTCTGCACCAAGAGAGGCCTAGACCTAACCTAATCTCCCTGAGAAATTTTCTGTGTGGAAGCTTGGAATGAACTAGTTTATAGTATGGTTGGCTTTGTTTTTTGTTGTTGGTTTTTGAGTTTTTTTGGGGCTTTTTTTGATGCCTTTATAATAGCACTTGGAAGTATGACATTTTCTTTCTATTTGCTTTCTTAACTACTTCTTTAATGATCCTCATTTTTGTGAAAAATTCATAATGTTGGCTTTTTTTTTTGTAGTTTTTTTTTCCTATGAAGAAAATTGTTAACATGTAAATAACTTTTTTTTTTTTGCCCTGAAGCATGTTCAAGCCAATTTCAGAGTTGTGGGATTAATACACAAAAATCTCCTCTGAAGACACCAATTCCTCGGAGATATGCTCCAGAACCTGTATCAAAAAACATGAAAATCTCAAAGAAAGAAAACTGTGTAACAGAAAAGGAAAATATACCCAAATCCACAAGTGAAGGTATTGTGAGTAAGACACTCCTGTCCTCTACTGGCTTGAATATTATGGACTGGGGATTACTTTGTGTGGTCCTCACCTATTCTGAGCTGTTGGGTTTCTGGCACTTAAGTATGTATATTCAGAATATTTGAAAGTACATTTGGGAAGGGTTAGTTTTGTGAATAAATCACTATTAAATAACCAAAGACTTCATGACAGTACTGATCTAACATATAGCATCTCGACATGATTGCTCACTGAAATATTTTCTCAGATCAAATGACCATTCATTGTCAAGTTTAAGAAAGGTTATATAGAATAATGTAAAATTCAAGAGCTACTCAGTAACTTTGTCATTATCATTGGTTGAATTGATCCCCTTCTCCCTGCTCTGTTCCCCCCAACCATGGATACACAGGGTCTTTGGGATATTATAATGAAAACACCACATATAAAGCAATGTGAAGTAATTTTCTTTTACTGCTTTTGAACAGTTTGGTGGCATAAAACTCAGTTTTGAACATTCCATCAAAAAATAAAGCTGGTTTTTTGTTTGGTTTTTTTTTTGGAGTTGGGTGTATTTTAGAATTGTTTGAGGATCTAAAATTGAGGAAAAGTGTTTAAAAGATCCAGCAATTGTACTCTTACCATCAAAGACATCAGATTCGTAGATGCTGCTTCTATCTCTCTTTTACAAAACTGCCACCTGTTCTTGTTGTTCCATAGGTCCAGGGATAAATGAAATGAGACAGAGGAAGAACAACAAATTTGTGACATTATGGACAGAATGTTTCTCTCTGATTCAGTTAATTGCCATCACAGTTTCATTTATGTGTTTTCTGACTTTGCTAGTGTAACACAGTCACAGTGAGATAGATAAGTGTGAGTGGTTTTATGTGACTTGCCTATCTGAAATAAATGTATATTTCAATCTAAATTTATATAAATCTAAAAATAATTTTAACTATCTTTGGTGAGTATAATGGGGAAATATCTGGAAAGGAAAAGAAAGTATTACATATATTGAACAAAGTTAACCTTTTTTCTGCCTTAGGTGAAGGAAGACTTCTTGAGCATATTCTGACTTCTCAAGAAATGCCAGAGAGGCAGATTGAATATTCCAAGAAGGCAGCATTAAACAGTAATAAAATGAGTTGTCATTCTGAGAGAGACAGGTAAATAAACATCACAATCCAAAACTGAGGAAGGCTTTTTGTTTCTTTTAATGAAATTGAGAAAGATGTATTGGATATTGATGGCGTAATACAGTCCTTCATGGTCCTTCAATCTAGGAAAGCTGTGCCTGAAGTAGGAGCACTGGCCCACTGACATTTTTATGGTACTTCGCATTTCTGTTGTACTGGAGGTAGATGAAGGCTTGTTGCTAAGGGTAGTTTGTAGCACCTTTCTTGGGGGTCAGTGGGTGTCACTTTTTTGTCTTGTGAGTATATGTCTTCCATTGTAGCAGCCTGGAGAATAGTGTCAGGAAGCCAGCTCTACAGGAATTTTGTTAAAGTGGAACTGCCAATGTCAGTGAGACTCCAGGCTTATGGGAGCTGTATGAGAACACCTCATTGGGAAGGAGCAGCATCTGCCTAACAGTTTCTGAGCTTTAAGAGTGTGTGCGGAAATGTTTTGAGTGATCCAGTCTGAAACTTATTTTCTGCGGGCAATAATTTGATGTCACATTTTCACTGCGTAACAAGAAATGGCTACATATATACTGTCTTATTTTTGATAGTATGGACAAAAATGTTAATTGGTTCAAATGGAAATGTATCCAAAGTTTAAGTGTTGCTCTGTTAGATCTGAATTTTAGGTGTAGTTTCACTGTTGAAAATACAAGGATACAGCTCAAGGTGTTAAGCGGTAAACAGAGAAAAACCAATAACCTGTCTGTAACCACAGGTGAAAAAGCGGATTCCATTTTATATAAAGGCTTGGCATTCTTGCACTTTAATGCTTAGTTTTACAGTTGGCTACTTTCTTGGACTGCATGAGGAGCCAGGAGACTTTTAATCCAGAGTGTTTCTCCCATCAGGCATTCTGCTCTGCGTACAGACTCAGTCCCTGCTTTAGAAAGCTTCCAAAATTGCAGTTCAATTGAGAAAACAGTGAAAAAAGCAGATGATTTACTTCAAGATCTTGACCAGTTGAGAAGAAAAATGCATGACATGCTAGAGGTAAAGTCCGTGTTATCAGAATGACCAAGAGTTTGAGTAAAGGGGAATAAAAAATGTGGAGAAAAACTTAGAAGTCTGGTATCAGACCTCTGTAAGAAGACTGACATTTCTTTGCAGTTACTTGAAATATTGCTGTTTCTGTATGTGGAAGGGCATTGAGCCTGAGTAATTTCTCAATGAGTATGCAATGGACTAGACTGTAGACTCTTACAGCCATTCTACCAAGCATAAAACAGGTTTAAAAAAAAAAGAAAGTGGTTTATTTATTTGTTTAATTTAAGGTTGCTACTGTCCTGTGATACCAGAGCTACAGAGCTGATACAACATTCCCGTTTGGGAAAGAACAATGTTCTGTTTATCTGCAGTCAACTGGGGATGACTTATGCTACTTCCTTTCTCATTTTGCCACTTCTTTTTGTAAAGAGTGCTGTTTCCAAAGAATTGACTGGCATGCATCCTTGTGTTGTTTCTCATGCTAATGATTTTGTACCTTTGGTGTTAGAGTGGTTCTGTGCTGGCAATGGGTAGCTTGTCGGTGGCTTTTGACAATTGAGGCTTTTATCTGTTTGTTAACCTGGTTCCACATGGAAGCAAGGTATAGCTGATCTGGTGTGGTCCTCTCTGTTCTTGTAAATATTCGTGGTGCGAAAGAAGGAAGACTTGAAAATTCATGTTTTGTGAATTGGCTTGGAATGCAATAGCTATGATTATATTGGTTCATTTCTGTGGCTGAAGTTTACAGCTTGTATATTTGTTGCTGTATCTTTAGAATTTAAGTGTTCTTACCAGTAAGAGAAAACGTGCCATGTGCCCCATTTATGCAGCAAATACTTGCTTACCACTACTGCTGAAAACTTAATTGATTATCATACCTTAGCATAGGCAACAGAACAGGACAAGATGGGAGAAGAAATGGCAAGTGAGAAAGACACAGTTGACAGAAATGGCTTAAAATCTCTTCTTTCTTACAAAAAAGGTCAATAGGAGGACAGAGTTGATGACTTCAGCAAATGTGGAGTTGAGTCAATTAGGTAGTTAGCTATTGACTTCTCATCATTGAGAGATTTGTAGGGTGAGAAAGTAGATACTTGGGATAAATGAGCACTAGCTTAAGGAAATTAAAGGCCTGAATTAACTGAGATAGGTTGTGATGGAACAGAAGGTGGTGCTCTAATCCTGAAGAAGTATGCAGTGAGATTTAGTAGTTCACAAGGAACTTATTGTGCCCATTTAAATTGATCAAATATCTACTCTGGATTTTACCTTGACAGATCTGCCTTTAGATAATTTTCAACAGCTCTTCTTCTGTCTTTTTAGGAAGCAAATTCATGGAAGTCAGACATGAATGATTTTATTAAGGTATATCTTACATTTTTATTCTTTTTTTTTTTTTAAATATACTGTAATATTGAAACAATTGTGGACATCCTTGCAGTGAAATAACATTACAGTAACTATTGCATGCCTTTGTTTTTTTGAAAAGGTTGATATTATGTACAGATTACATTACTCAAAGTAAGATTTAACTTGTTCTTTGACTTGTCTTAGTGAATAATACAAATGTCAGGCAGAGAGCTGTTGTCTCAAATGGACATAGTGTGGACTACTCATATAATTACCATTTCCTGATCTGGGTCTAACCAGCAAGTCTGCATTATTTTGTGATTGAACATGAACCTGTATCTCTTACATTTTCTCACAAATTTCACATCTCTTATTGAGCTAGTATTTGTCAAAAAGTTTAAATTTAAAATGAAAACCTATATAAAATCAGTAAATAATTTGGTATATTGTCCTTTTCTCACCAGGCAGAACCAAGATCATGGGTTAAATGTGTTGATTCCTATTTTGTTATATCCATTGTGCTTTGGCAGTACACCTGTTAGAAACCAAACTTTTGTGTAATTCTGATTTGATGACAGGGTAGCTTTAAAGCCCAAACTGATTTGTGATCTGTGAGATTATTTTGTGCTCATTTAGTTAATGCTTTCAGAGTCTACTCAAGTTTGGGTATTTTGGTTTTTGTTTTGGGGTTTCTTTTTCTTTATGTACATTTATCACTTTTTGAATATTTTTGTTTGGTTGGATTTTTTTTGTTTCCTGTCTGGAAAATGAAGCACTTTTCTGGGGGACCTCTGGGTTTCATCAGGAGTGTGAGAGTGAATGTGAGGACTATAGCTGTGTGGCTCCTTATTTCCCCTGCACTTGTCTCCCTTCCTTTTGTATTTAGCAGCTAATATATGCTTGATTTTTATCTCAGTAAAAGGATTCTACAAAGTAAAAGGCTAATAGTCGCTTCATTGTTCCTTCTGAAAAGTGAAAATCAGTGAAAAAGGGGAGAGGATCATGGTGCTGTTGAGGGGTTTATTTTCTTGTTAGAACTTGTGTGTATTGCTTGGTGTTTCTTATGGTAGATTGATGCCAAATGAGTGCATATATTTAGAGGACTTTGGGTTTTATTAGGCTTTTAATAATACTTAACTGTTGTTACATGGAGAGATTTGCATATGATACTTCATGTATGTAATTGCCATCTTTTCACATGCTTATTGGCTCCGTTAACATTGTTTGTTATACGTTATATAAATATATATATTTAGCATTTGAGAGCTTTTGGATGTCTTTCCATTTGCTTGACTTTTAAATGTATTTGCAACATACTGAATGTTCTTGAGGAACTGAAGTTGACGACAGTACACATGGATAGTATTTCATACAATGGGCATTGATGTGATAATAGATTAGTGGGAATTCTGATCAGTGTGTAGCAAATTGGAATTACAATCTCTGATTAAATGCTAGAGATTCTGTTTCACTTCTAGTCAAAAAAGCCTCCTGTTACATCTGATCTTCCTGAACGTCATCTGCTCAATAAACCATCCATCCTTCAAAATGTTAAAGTGCCAAAATCTATACTGAGGGATGCTGAAAGGATTTTGAGAGGAGTTCAAAACAATAAGAAAGTTCTTGAAGAAAACTTGGAAGCTGTTATTCACGCAAAAGATGGAGATGCCATGTATAATTTTATTAATGCCTTGACTACAAACAGGTCAGACTCTGTAATTCAGTGCTTTGTGTGACTACTCATTGTATGTACACAGGTTTATCACCTCTCTTATTTTTCTATTCTTTAATCGTGTGTTGAAGAACTAGTGCGCTTCCCTGCAAAAAGTATTTATTGACTCTTAGCAATCATTAGATGATGCTTTTGAACTTCAGATGTTTTTTGACCGTCCTGTTGAGTATTTATTGACAGATACCTGTTAGTTCTTAGTAAATCTGGATTCCAAGACTGTTACCATCTTGACAAACTGTCCTGCTGTCATGACAAGGAGGTTATAGCTTTTAGCTTTTTGTAGACAAACTTGCATTAATAGGAAAATTAAAGGGTAATTGCATTATTCAGAACAGAAGAAGCTTCATAAGCCTGTAAATGTTACAGAATTAGTCATCCTACGGCAGATCTTTGGCTTTTGAACTTTTGCTTTGTTAGTTGTGTTTAATACTCCTACTTGAATCATAATGAAAGTTTTCCTATTAGAATACAACTAAATTTTGAGTTTTCTGAGGAAGGTAAGTATTCTCTTTATATAAAGATTTTTGTCAGGCATCTGCTGTGATTATTTTAGAGGAAGGAGTAATTTTTGTCATCTGCTTTTTGTCTTTTGTGTTGGAATATTTTTGTTGCTTTGTTATTTCAGTTTTTGGTTAAAAAGAAGGAACAAACACATGGCTGCCACTTATTCGTAGATGTTTGTAGTAATGTTAGTACATACAGATGGGGGGGTGGAGTTTATAGGTGGCATTACGTGAGAACAGATACAGGTTTGGGAAACTCAGATAGTCTATGCTTAGTGCCCTTTCGAAAGACTGTACTGGTACATAATCTTGCCATCTGTGTTCTGGATGTCTCTTTTTATAGTGTTTATAGGTCAGTACTTTCCCAGGAACAAATCTGTGCAATTTAAGAAGCACTGACCTTAAAATAGTTCGTTCTTCTATTTCAGAGATGTATTGGAAGAGATTCGTATCAGAAACACTGTGGATGAGTGGATTAAAGCAATCAGTCTAGAAATCCAGGTATGGCTGGAAAAATGAGTTCAGGTTTTTGCATTGTATTTTTCCACCTTACATTGTTCTTTCATGTCAGTAGTTAAACATGATTCACTTGCAACTTGAACACATGAGAAAACTGCTTATTATTACTAGGACATAGTATGCTGTAATAAAATATTTACCTCTTTTGAAACTTCAATTGCTTAATGAAAATCACTAGTCACAGTCACATGGCTAACATGAGGAACAGGCCATTTCTCAGAACTTCGGAGTTATCCACAGGCTTCTTCTGGTAGCCTTGAAGACGAAGATCTCCTTTTATTATATTTACGTTTTTATCTTTAGGCAGAAATGGCAAGAAATGATTTGGAACAAGTGAAATATGATCAGAAGGTCCCATGGATCAAGAGAGGCCAAAACATTAAGGGTATGAAGACCAATGAGGAAATTAGAGCAAAACCTCAAAAAATTCAAAGGTGCTCAACAAAGAAACCTTTATCTGCAGCTAAGCCATTACAGAAGTCAGCAGAAGAGTACACAAGCAAACAGAGGTTTAGAACTAACTTTTCTTCTGAAAACTTGCAGAGGAACAAAAAAGAGGCAGATGTGAGTTCCTGGGTAGTTGGTTTCATTTTTTTGTAATGATGGATTTGCTTTAGATTTTGGTATTTATGTGAGAAATTGTTTGCATGTGTGACTGTAATAATTTTAAATGAAAGTGATAGCCCTGTTCTGTGGATTTCTGTTGTCAGAATTGTCCGTGTTTTCATGTGCTGTAGGAGCTGAAGGTGAGTGTGCATAACAATGTAGAATTCGTTGTCCTGTTATGAATTTGCCTGATCCAGTACTTGCTATTTTATTCAGCTGTTAGTAAGCTTCTTGCATGTATTGTTGCATATATGTTTTCGTGTGTGCTTGCTATTTATACTGTTTGTTGCAGAACTTCTTGTTTTTTTCCCCTCTAGACTTTTGCAGTACTACTGACATGGTAAGATTTTCATCCATGAATAATTGTAAACTTTTGGTTTCTTTGGTGTGTATTAGGGACCTGTGAATGGACATGGAATGGTACAGAATGAAGACTATCTGTGCCAAGTTTATGGGAAACCTATTTACCAGGGTCATCGTAGCACACTTAAAAAAGCACCGTATCTGAGATTCAACTCTCCGTCTCCCAAATCTAAACTTCAAAGGCCCAAGGTGATAGAGTGTGTTAGAGGTAGGTAATACTTTGATGTGAACAAGGTTTTCCTTCTCAGTTTTTCTATTAGGAATTCATCGTATAAATGGAACTGTTTAATTGCAGTTCAGCTGCTTGTCAATCTAAAGCTCAAGCAACTGCAGTACGCTTCCTAGAGAGGTGCCCCATGCATGTCAGTGTTTAAGAGATATTTGGCAAATGCCCTTAATACCATGCTTTAACTTTTGGTCAGCTCTAAAGCGGTCAGGCAGTTGGACTACATGATTACTGTAGGTCCCTTCCAACTGAAATAGTATGATTCTATCCTAAGCTGTGCTCTTCAAAAAGATGCTCTTTTCAAAATTAAAAATTACCAGTAGGTTTTCAGATTTGCTTAGTGTATCTCCCTTTTTTAGACTATCAAATTAATACTTATTTCTAAATTCAATAAACATATATTAATATATATTTATTGTTGTCCATGTCTTAAAAAGCTCAATAGCTAGAATTAAAGACATGAGCACCTGAGAGCTGAATGTGCTGAAAAACTAACTCACCTTTTGATAAAGGTTACTGAGAGTTGTGTTCTTCATGTCAGGCTTGTCCTGTCATGTCATTTAAATGGTTGATTCAGTCACAGTTAAGAAATTAACTGAGATTTGAAAAATAAAGGAAGCCTGGTATTTAATTTCCCTCTGCTAATACTTTAATCAAAATCTGAACATTTAAATTTGTGGTTGTGACAATGGCATCTGTTAACTTGAAAATATTGAAAGATATTAATCAGAAGCAGTGGTTTATTTCACTAAATGCAACTTTTGTTAGTCAAGTCAGGGTTAAAATTGGAGTATAACTGTTTTGTACTAGCTTGTTATGGTTATTAGCTATGACTTGATTAGTACAGAATTTCATTCATTGGTTTTGTAGGTAAAGTGTTAGGATCAGAAGATTCTAATTTTCAAACCTATTAAAAATATGCAAAAATAATTAAAAAGTGAAACTTCATGATATCTGACATAGGTAGGTGTAGATAAAGTTGAGTTAGCAGAAAGAAATGTTTTAATTGGGTCTGGTTTATTTCCTAGTTATGTTTTCAAAACTTAACTGATTCTTAATATATAAACTATCTCTAACTGATATGTCAGAAAGACTAATGTGTATCATCTCACTGCAGGAGAGAGTGAGCAAATTACATGATAAAAAATAAAGATGGAGAGAAAGAACATGTTATGTGAAGAGGCAGTTGAAGTGGTGGTGGGCACAACCTAGTTAATAGCATGAGCATCAATGGAAAGAGATTAGTTGGCTTCCCTCTTCACTTCTTGCACTTAAGCTGTTTTTACGTATGCAGCGAAAATATACTTGATACAATCCTAACCACATTCAGAAAATGGTGTCTGAGGTTTTAATCATACTTTCAGAAGTATTCTCTTCTGTATGGAATAGAAGAAATTAACATGAGAAGGCAATCGCTGGTTGAGACCATGTTTTTAGGCCATTAAAATGTGTGGTTTATACCAAAGACATTTATATGTCTTTGAAGACAAGTACTTCTGGGTTTTGGTGAGGGTTTTTTTTGACATTATGATGTACATCCACGGTGGCAAATCCTCAGAATAGTACAAATCTATTGTTAAGCTCACTGTAGTCCTTTTGCCATTCCCAGCACTTTTCTTACATGTGCTCTGGAACCCGGTTGTGATCCATGAAGAAGAAGTGTCATTGGTAGAAAGTGTTTACAATTCTCTGCTGGAAAATGTGGGTTATAATCTTGGTAAAAATCTAGAAGACTTTTCAAAACTTATTTTTTGAGAGGTGAGAACTTGATACGTGAAAACTGCTTGTTTTGTTCCGTGTATGTTTTATTTGACCTCTCTTGAAATGCTTCTTTTTGTGAAAAGTGCTGGTATACTCATTTGAAAGACCAGCGTGATGAATTACTTTTTGACTACTGGCTATGCTGCATGCCTTTAATTGAGTTTATTCTGTAAGGATTTTTTTCTACAAAATGTGTGCTAGTAAGCACTTAATGTAGCAATAATAGTGATAGAGTGACCACTAAGATTTGGATTGAGAACAGACACTTCTGTAAAAATATTTAATCAGCAGTTCTGCTTTTGCTGAGTCCTTAATTACATTTTTCTTCTATATTTAATGGACTTTTGTCCTTATAGAAGGTCACAACCTTTCCAGGGAGGCTAATTTCGTCAGTCCAGCAACAATACTGAGTGAAGAGGTGGAAAAAGTCCCCCTCCCTCCCAATCTAATTATAATAAATAGGTAATTTGATCGTTTGATACTACCTTTTTTTTACTGGCAATGTGTTTAATTCAGTAGTGTCAGTGAAATGTGAAGGTACAGGTTGCCTGCAGTTGTAATAACCTGCTCCTGTGCTTTAGCTCATTTTCTGTTGGAGGCAAATTAGAAATGAGAGAGAAAACTGTGTACCGGATCCATGCTGCGTTCAATCTTCCAGAACTCTTGCATGTGACAAATACAGTTTAAAAGCTATGTGCTTGAAACCAAAATGAACTCTGGATAGCCTTTACCCAGAGTGATTTGTTTCCAAGTCATTAAGTCATACTACGGCAGTACAGCAACATGTGTGTTGGCAATAATAAAGCTGCCATAAAATTTGTTCTCTATTTCACATCAAACTGCAGTTATGTAAAGTTGTGGTTTTGTCTCTGTCATGACAGTAAATAAAATAATGTTATAGTCTTATCTAAGGGAAGAAAGGAAGAATATGGATTTTCTTTTGTATGTAACTTAAAATAACACTGCAGTGCCTATGTGGTTTATTTCCAAGTTTTCTGATTTCAATGGATTTAAGACTGAGGTCTTTGATACTGGCATTACTTGTCTTTGAATCTTCTTACAAGACAGTTGGTCAAGCTGCTTATTTTTTGTGCTTTCTTACATGTTGCCAATGAAATGGAAAAATAACACTTCTGTGTTTCACATGGGTCTCACGAAGACAAAGTAGTTAAATGATTTTGAGGGCTACTATTCTGAAAGATGCTGTTACCGCAGGAAAGTATAAATAATAAAATTAGAAACAGATCTGTACTCTGCTGTAGTAGGAGTGTAAATAAAATGAAACAAAGATGAATGAGCCACTTTAAAGCACCAGGTTCTAAAGAAAGAAAGAGATCTTACTAGCATTAAGCATGGTTAGTTCTTTCCTTCACGGATCTGCACCCACAGATTCCCTTCCTGGCCTTGATGTACCGGGTGATAAAGGCTTAAAAATTATTGGAAGCCGTTGGCTTTGGGATTGATTGGCTGGAAAATCCAGACTTATTATATTACTCTATTTTGTTAAAACAGTCCACTGAGCTTGCTTTAAATTAGTGTTAGAGTAAGGATGTTTATTTAAGACTGAAATGGCCATCTGGAGAGTCTCTTTTCAGTCATTTTATAACTCTTTCAACCATTTTCTTTGCAAATAAATTGTAGTGACTAATGCATGGTTTCTTATGGCAAGTTAGGAAAAAAAGCCAGCTAACACTTTTATGAGTAAGAGGGCATTTCAAAAAAAGTTGGAGTTGTTTTCTTGCATAATTTGGACTGATAAATATATGTAAAACACTAGGGTTTTAAAGCTAAATTTAATTAAATGTCTAGTTTCTGCCCAGTGCAAATAAACCAAAAAGTTGAAAGCAATTAAAATGAGGTGCTGTGTGTATACAGTACTTAATCATTCTTACTGTGAGAACCTTGTTTTTACAAGTTGGTGGTATTACAGATACGTTGCCAATTCCTGCTTTTACTCAAAAGTTCAAGGCTGGGGGGGGACTGCTAGATCATGTAGCATGACCTCTTCTAAATCACAAGCCACTGAACTGTATCTGTTTGTTACTGAGCCCAGTAATTTGTCTTTGACTAAAAAAACCCCAACTTTTCTGGCTAACCTATGCTTTGCAGAAAGGCACATGCCTGTCATTTAAGGAAATCAGAAATTCTGTCCTTAATTGCTTCTTCCCGTGGCTAGATACCTTATGGTTCAAAAGTAAACAGGACATCTCAAATTTAGTATCTGATTTATATTGAGTTTTTTGCTTCAGTTTACAGCTACTTCAGTTTCCAGGTGATTTTACTTAAAAATGAAAAACGAAATAAGGACTTTTAATGTGCAATTTATTTTAAGATTTAGAGAGATATGGAATTAGTACTGGATGCAACTGTTATCATATATGGAAGTCTTGTCATGCTCTACCTCACTGACATCCTGTTGAGACATCTGAGGATTACGATTATCTCACTGACCACAGCATTGTATTGTGATTTATCATTGAGTTGCTTATCCAATGAGACCTTAAAGCCTTTTTCAGAAATGCTTCTTTCTGACCTGTATTTTCTCTCTGAGGAGTTATGACTTGCTGTTCTTGTTTCTTAGCTTATAATTCAAAACTTGAGTGTACAAAAATACAATCCCTTGAGTGAATTGCTTTACTTGCTTATCTGCATTTGTTAAAAGTCATATTATTGATATTTATTATCCTTTAATTTTATTATCATTGACTTTCATTCTTAAATTAATTAGGAAGCTATTAAACATGAACAGAGCTAAAAAGTGTTTGTTAAGATGTGTTAACTGGCCATTAATGCAGGAAGAGTGATGATTAGAAACAAGAGGAGTAAGATGGCATTTTTCAGCTGTAGTGAAAAAATGGAGTTGGTTAGCAATGTTATTCTTTCCAGACTTATTTTCCTAATGCCTAAAAAATAGAAGCACTTTTGTTTGACTTAAAATTTGTTGACTCCTTTTTTGGGGGATGTTTCAGGCAGTATTTATGCATTTAGAATAAAGTTAATAATTTTCTTAGTGTGTACTGTTTGCAAAGAACAGAGGTCGAGTAAGACCTTGCATGACAGTACAGTGAGAAATGCAGTATTGCGATAAATGTTCTCCTCTGCTGTATGCTTAGGCATCATTACATACAAATGAGTTCTGTGTAGCTATTTAGCAATGCATTTTCAAAATTGGACAAAAAAATCAGTGCTTTCTTGATGTTGCAAGTCAAGACGTCTAATGCTGTATTTCAAACCTAAATCATGGGTTTCTTCTTAGCTGCTAAATCATACGTTTCATTCCAACCTACTACCATCCTCATGTCCTTTTCTTCATGTTTCTGTGCCTTTATTTGCTAGATTCAGATGCTCAGAATTTGTAATTTTAGCTTCTTCATTGCTATGAATACTGAGACATCTAACTTACCACTTTTAGATTCTCGCCTTTCTGTCTCCCTCCCTTGTTCCCTCTATCCCACAGCAAAAAAATTGTAACTGTTTCAGTAGAAGGGCTAATTAGTAAGTACGATGTTACTGGTTTTGTACATGTCTTGATGACATGCAGTTTATCTGCTCTTGTTTTAGGTACTAAGGTGAAGTCAGCAAGAACACAGACTTCTCGCATGCAGAAGGTGGTAACCAGCCCTGGGAAACAGCATCCTTTGTATGCACTAGCCCAGGAAAATCAGTATCTTTTCAGTCCAAGTCGAGATGTGCCTGCTGTCTGTGGTCCCGTTGAAGGTCACCTAATTCCTATGGCCATTCCACTAGGTAGGAACAAATAAAGCATAGAAGCATGTGTGAAGGTTAATTACTGCTGCTTCATGGAAATAAAACTTATGTCATCATAAGTCAGTGATTTGCCCATGAGATTTGGCTCATGAGATTTGCAGCTTCTCTTATAGGAAATCTACATGCAGGAATAGTTTAAAATGTTCTGGTTCTCCTCATTCTTCATGCTGGATGTTTGACAGCACCTGACAATTATTTGCTTAGCTGTATCTGCTTTCTTTGGTACACTTTACATTTCTAGGCTTCGTGTTCTGGCTTTAAGTTTGGTATCCATATAAGCAGAAATGGAATCATTGACCCTTAGATTCAGCATTTATGATGACATTGGCCCAACAATTTCAGTAGGGTTGTGCCAAACACAGTAAATTCATTGTGATGGCTTCTGTATTTTTGGATCTTCAGTAGAACCTTGGTATAGGCCTTGCTTGGGGAAGAGTGAGTATTGTATTTGCATTTAAAGAAGATGATTATTTTTAAAATGGATGTCTCAAGAAAAAATTGTGGGATGCTATAGGAAGTGTGATGGTGTTTTGAATATGATTACGAAAATGTGAGATGAGGGAAGCATGGTATGTGATTTTTGAACACAATGTAGTTATTCTTGTTTTCAGCAGTAGGTGTCACCGTAGTCAAGAAAATTAAGTAATTTTTAAAAATGGCAGTGTCAAGTTTACAGTTTCTGCTGGGAAAGCCTTAAAATTACCTGGTGAAGCACTGTAGTCTGGCTAGTGTTAATAGGGGACTTTGTAATTGGTCTGTAGATGTGCACAAGATCTCAGTCTGTCGTATATGAAATAGACACCCTGAATTTAATTTTTCAGTGATTTATTAATATACTGGCTTTGGAGATTTATATATATGTCTGTCTTTCATTAGGTCAAACACAAATCAATGATGTTTCACTGCTGCCTGCTGGAGTTGTTATAGGTAAACCACACCCTATTACAGTTACAACCTCTGTTCCTCAAGTGCCACCAAAACCACTGGTTGAGATAAAAAAACCAAACATAGCTGTAATAGAGATGAAATCAGAGAAAAAGGATCCACCTCAATTGTCTGTGCAGGTACATAACAAGAGTGATGATTATTTGTTTGTGGCTTGTTTTTTTTTTTAATTTAATAAATGCTAACTAAAGATAGTCTCATCCATCAGTAACTTTGACATCAGTAGATGATTTTCAGTAAGTGTTAGAAACATACGGAATGGAGGGACCAAGAAGCTGTTATGCTATGCTAGTGGTTTTATTCATATTTTAAGAATTATCTCTATTATTTGACCAAAATAGTAAGCTATTTCTTCTGTATGTCGCCTATGCAGCATATCTGTAAAATAGGTCTGTAAATGTGTCATGTTTTCAAATCTCATTTTTTTTAAAAGAGATTTTTGAGTCAGAACAAACTTGGAATTAAAGAAGTATTAATGTAAATGTCAGTTTTCTTGGATGACTGCTTTAGCCTTCAAGATTTCTGTTTCGAGCATGATAGGCAACCCAAGGATTTCACTTCTGATGAATCAGCCATTGTAGTCTTTACCTAGTGGGATTGGTGGTTTTAATTTTGGGGGTTTTGTTTGTGGGTTTGGGTTGTTCTTTTTTTGGGATTTTTTGATTGATTGTTCATTTGTGGGTTGTTTTTATTTGTTTGCTTGTTTGTTTTCTGCTTTGTTTTTTAAAATTTTATGCATGTCTGCTGTCAGGGAAGTTAATGTTTCTTTCATATTCATTATTTTTGATTCATGGAACTCACTTAAACACACAGAGTAGTGGTTTTTTTCCCTTGCTGTATCACTGTATTTCACCCACATGCATTTTCCTGTTATTTCACCCAGTTCTTAAATGTTTAAGGTCCCTTCCCCCTCTGCCTCCCCAGAATTGAGCAAGCATTTAAATCTCTGGTTTTTATAAAACCAGGAACATGTTTTGATGCTGTAATGGACATGCCTTTATTACAAATTATATTCTAATATAATTATCCCTTTATTTTACCATACCAGATGTATGACAATGTAAGTCCAATAACCAGCGTACGTAGTGGCTTGTAGGCCAATATAATGTAAATGAATTGCAAGTCTGCTTTATAAATAGTTACAGGTATACTCACCTTTTGTCACATGTGAGACGAGGTGTTAGGGAATTAGAGAACAGGAGAAATGAGGTACTGCAAGAAAAGAGATGAATATTTCTGGGGTTACTTTTTGTATGTTACAGTATTTTGTTTTTCAAAACCAGGTTATTACCAGATACGGGTATGAGAAACAGAGGTCACTGAAGATCAGTGGCTCAGTTGCAAGTGGAAGAGAGTATCTAAAAAGTACAATGTTAGCAGCTGAGCTAATACATAGATTTTCAGAGTGATGCTTTATTCTGTTCTAGGTGTTACCAAATGTAGATATTGACAGTATTTCAAGTGACAGTGTGAGTGTAAACCACGTTCTTCCAGGCTCTGAACCTGCACTTCCTGCTGTTGATACTGTAATACAGGTATTGACTGGTCTAAATGTCTGTGAATTCAAATCTGTTAAAAATTTATTATCTCATTATTCTGTCTGAGTTGGAGAAATTAGGCAGTTCCAGGAAAAATGGAGTAATTATTCTAAGGAATTGATAGTATGAAGTATTTGTTTAAGGAAATGAAAAATTGCAGCTAGACACTCGTCTTCCAAGATTAAATAATCACTACAGCAAAACTCCAAGAACAGCATTTCTCTGTCCTCTTAAGAGTTATAATGCTTTATTGCCCAATGTCTGTCTTATTTATACTGGCTTCAGTGTTCTGTCATGAAGACTGAGAATGTTCTTTGTTCCTCTGTCTGCTCCTTAGCGGTACTTGAGTGGTTAGTGGCACGTATGCGTAGCCTATTTACTGGTAGCCTGTTGTGTGTGGAACTGGCCAGTCTACTTTATTCTCTTTCCATGTTATTTTTCAAAAGTGCGTTTAATCTAATCTAATCAGTAATGAGGGATTTTTGCAACTAAAAGGTTAACTGCTGCATGCTGGAAGATAAGGTTGTAAACCAGGGCACATGTTGGCCTATTGTTTCTTCCAGTGGACTTCTGTCTTGTGCATTGCACAGACCGGATAGTGTGAAGGCATGGTGTGATTTATTTTTGTATAGTTATTTTACCTTGTGTTTTCCCTGTGTGTTAGCTGCTATTCTGACTTCAGGAGTTAAGTCTTCCAGAGTCTGTGGTGAAGGTATTCTCTGAATAAGATGGAGACCATGGACTAAAATAGCTATTATTATTTAAAATTGATTTTATTAAATAACACTATAGAAATCTTTCTTTTCCCTCTTTTAGAGTGCGAGGCACTGGAATAGGTTGCCCAAAGAAGTGGTAAATGCTCCATTCCTGGCAGTGTTCAAGGCCAGGTTGGACAGAGTCTTAGGCAACGTGGTTTAGTGCGAGGTGTCCCTCCCCATGGCAGGGGGGTTGAAACTAGATGATCTTAAGGTCCTTTCCAACCTTAATCATTCTATGATCACTGCTTAAGACATTTCTAGACTCTCGTGTGCTATGTTTTACAGTATTTTGTCTTACTGTTCTGTTTTGTGCATGTTTTGTTTTGTTTTCCAAAAAGAATTACAGATAGAAAAGAAATACAGCTATACAGGCTATTGTCAGTGAACGGTGATTTAATTGCATTCTTGTAATGAAGTTTTTCTGCTAGTGCATTTTTTTATCCAATATGAAACACTTAACACTTCCTGTCTGTCTATAAGACTCCAGAAGATATACATAGTGAGGAAGAAGATGCAAAGTTTCCAGGAACTAATATCATTGATGTTGCTCATGTCACACAGGTAATTATATTGCAAAGTGTACTTTCTTTTTTAATGCTTTTATATTTGTTTTATATTATTCTGTCATAACTGAAAACACGATGTAGAAAATTAGTTTTACTAGCAACTTAAAAAACACGCATTTTGGGAAGTACTGAACTGTTTACAGTGATATAAACAATATTAGAAATTAAAGTGTGTTAAGTAAAGAACCTTTGAAGAATTAAAATTTAAAACAATATAGCTTTTATTTGGTTGTGTTAGAATCCACTAGATGTAAAAGTAGTTCTCTAAAATCAGCTGTGACTATAGAACTTAAATTTCACAATTTCCAACTCTAAATGTAATATATATGTATAAGATGCTTTTACAGATTTGAAGTAAGGTGACCTATATTTTAAAATGTATTTTCTGAGTGTTCGCTTTTAGAAAATCTTGGTGTAGAGCAATTTGCGTATGCTTTTGAGTTCCTGAAATGCTTTAGCCTGTCATCTCATTTCAGTCAAACATTATGTAACTTTAAAAGAAAAAGACAAGCAGTATATGTGAGTTTTTGCGTACAACGTGTACTACTCATCTCATGGATCCCAGTAAGAGTTTAAGATGTTTAACAATGTTGTTTCTGGATTATGATAACATGGGTTTATTTGAGATAACTCTTTTACAGTTTTAATTTTAGCAAGCCCTTTTTTCTTTTTTTTTGGTTTTGTTTTAGTTAGTTGGCCTCTTGTTAGAGTAGGGGCTGATAAAGCTCTCAAAATTGGTGAACCAGCCTGAATTTCACTTCTGCAGATCAAGAGCAGAAGGAGAAACTCAATGGTAGCTGGGAAAGGCTGCTTCTGCAGGAAGCAAGATGCTGCCAGGCAGCTGTTATGGAGTATCTTGCCCCTGTGGAAGACGGCAGCTTCCACCTCCTGCTGCATTTAGCATTCAGTAAATGACAAGAGCTTGAAATTGCTGTTGTTGGCTAGTATTACTCTTGGAGTGCTTTTTCCTCAAGCTGCTTGCCAGTGAGCTAGACTTGCTGTGTGCATATTAAAATCTACCCCAAAAATGTATTCTTTTAGTGTTTTGATATGCTCCTAATCCCAGGATTAGAGTGTACATCAAATAGTAATTCTGTACCTACAGATCAGTATGGTGGATTTATTTCTAAAATGAATGAATCCTTTAACATTACCCGTTCGTTAAAACAGTCCTAAAGGGGTGGTTTACCTATCAAAAATGGGGAAATGCTTTATTAATTTTTAGTTTCAAAATTATTGTTATTGGAGGGGAGGAGTTAAATCTATTTGAACAACTTTCTTTTGTTTGCACAAAAAAGCTTTATTTTATAAAAATAAATAGGAATTGGTTTATGAATGAACAAGAAAAATGCTGCAGTGTTAAATTTTTATATGTGAATAATTGTTATTCATCTTTTCTTTTTTTCATTTTTCTCCTGGATTGCTTTTATCTTTTATTTTTGGCAATGGGATATATTTTAACCACAATAACAAAAAAATGTTCCAAGTGAAACATATGTTTGACCTATGACCACACAGACAACATTCTTAAAAATGTGCAAGGCAAACACAATGTGGAAGCATAAAATCAGCCTCTGGAGTGGCAGGGTTATTTAAGACGTCAAAAGAAAGCAAAGTTACTGTTATAAAAGAGGTTTCGGATTCATGAAAAAATGTGCATACAATGCTATACAGAAAAATAGATTATTGTTGTCTTTCCCCCATACCCCTTTTATTATGAAAACTTAATTCTGTTAGAACTGAAGAGGATAAGTATTTGTGTGAAATATCCTTTCTCTTCCCTCCTTCTCTCCTTCCCTCCCTGCCTCCCTCCCTCCCTCCTTTTTTCCCTCCTTTCTCATCTGTTCTTTTTCCTTTTTTTTATTCCCTCTTGTCGTTCTGTTTTTGCCTCACTCCACACCCCCAGGCCTGAAAAGGTCACCTCTGGCTCCACCCCATAAACACTACATAAAAAATGTTGTACTCTTCCCTGCATCCCATAATAAGTCATCATGTCATCACCTCATCCAAATGCCCCTGCCTAACCTGAAGAAAGGTATTATGGAAAGTCGTTCCATGGGCTCGTCTTGCAGGGTTTCACTCCTGGACACCAGGGCTAAGCCCCCTCCTGCATGGAATAGCAATGTTGAGGGGCTCGATTACCATATTTGATCATTCTCTCACCCGCTGTCTTTCTTCTGTGCTCCGTTTTGTGAATGGAGACATACCTTTAGTCACATAACCTAACAGTAATTTGTTTTAACACTTTCGAGGACTAACGCGATGTGCCCCAACCTGTAAAACACAAGCACTGCCATGGGAAGTGGCCATGCGCCTTTCTCCCATTGCTGCCTTGCTGTCTAATGTTTAAAGGTCCAGAGCTTCACCTTCCAAAGTAGTTGAATATCATGCTATTATTGCAGAATAAGAAAATTCACATGTAGAATAAAGCAGAAAAAGATGTTACAGCTTTGATTTACACACATACTTTCCGTACAGAAAAGGTTTCCTAAGGTCAGCCCTTGCACGGACCCTGCCTTATTCTGGGGTGAGGAACTTGCTCAGCTAATGTGAGCCCAGAACAGACCCTTAGATTTATTGAGTCCACTCTCCAACTCTTACAAGCAGCCAAATCCTGTAGTACCTTTAGCAAACATACTAGGATTTAAGATTAGAGACTTTTTGGTTTCTCTGAACATGCCCTAATTGCAAGGTGGGGACTTGTTTCTCTGAATTTTTGCCTCTGTTTTGAATACTGCTGCAAAATCTATAACCCGCAGAGATCAGAGTAAACATTTTCTTCAACCCAGGTTTCCCATAGATGTTCTTGGGAGCAGTAGTTTTTTTTATATGTCTAACTCTTCAGACAAAAGATCACAGGTGGCACATGCAACCTGAAAATTGCTTTAGAATTCTGTCAAGAAGAAATCCATCAGTAAATTTTGGATGGCTTTTTATAAAGACTGTGCATATACATGCTTTGGTAGTGGAACAATATCAATCTATAGCACCTAATAATTTCAAACTTTTTTTTAATTATCTGAATGTAATTTGGGAAATAAAATTTTGGCTTGATGCTTTATTTTAAAGTGCTGTGATTAATATGCAGATCATTTTTGAAAGGCTTTCTAATTTATGCTCTATTTTGATATGGAGTCATGATAGATATTTTCAACAGTCTCTAGGGAGGTAGAATACAGAACTGAGTGCAGATTATTTAGGATTGGTCTACAAGGTGATATATGTGCAAGTACAATCTGTATAATTAAATACTGACTTTTTTTTTATTTCAGAAGAGACAATATATCAATTCCAAATGAATACAATTTTCTTTTGGATTTACACACTATTAAATATAAGTATTTTCCACATAGTTTAGAAATGCAGGAGAACTGCAAAAATTTGTCAGAAATTACTAAATGTAAGACTTATTGTGTGTACTTCGTTTATTTAATCCAGATGTTTGTATTTTGCATACTTTCAGAAGTATTAAATAGGCAACATCAAAGGAAATTTCTGGAGTGATGCAGTCAGAAGAAAATGCATAATGAAACACTGGACAAAGACATCTTTACATGTGCTGTCAGAATGAATTATGGTTATGAATACATATATCCTAACATAATGAACTACGTATCAGCTTGCAAGGCATGCAGTGTCGTTCTGCATTGAACTTTGCTGTCTTTTTTTTATGCCTAGAATAGTTTAGAGATCTTAATTTGTCACCCAAATATACATATTCTGTTTTTCCCGCTTTGTAAGTTACAGCTTTTCTTTGAAGAATTATTATTATTTAAAGATCCAGAAAGATCCTTCTCCCCAATAGAAATTTGTTGTAATACCCATCCTGGACCTATCTGATTTTTCAGTTTTAAAGTATATTGAGGAAGGAGAGAAGTATGAATTCTGGTTTGGGGAAGGAGACAAGAAAACGTTACTATCTTTTTTATATTTTCTTTCTCCTTCCTTTCTGTTTCAGTGAATTGTTGTTTTATTCAGAGAAAATATATAATGTTGGGTTTTTTGTTTATTTTATAGGTTGAAAGTAAATTTAATTTGGATAAAGGAAAATAAGACTTCTTTTTTCACTGTGTTGGAGATAAATCTTAGTGACTGCTGATTTACAGTGAGCTCTTTCATGCAATGTCACATATTTCTCATTGGTAATTTAGGGCTTAGATCTTCATCTCTTCCTGGCATGCTGAATTTTCTTCTTGGAGCATCATAGTGCTATTGGAGACATTTGTTTTTAATACTATGAGTGAAGAAATGCATGCTCTCATCCATCATGAGACATTCTAAAGTGTTACATTGTGCTCTGATGGGTTAGTGACTGCATTTTGGGACTTAATGCTGTGTATGAGCTTAGAGGGGAAAAGGAGGGTGGCATCTTAGGAAATAGTCAAACATTATAATGCACAATGAGTAACTTCCATAACTTTTTAGAAATAGCACATTAAATTCAGTGTGTCTGTGAGGATCTTGTGAATTGATTACCCAGAAATACTTTTTTGCTTTCAGGAGCTGAAATTCATGGAAGTATAACCACACATGTAACACGTGTAAATTATTAATATCTAGTCTACAGTGCTGGCAACTTTATTAGGGTTTTGACTGACTATATGCTTGTTAACTTTGGGGAATTGCTTCTTTTCAGACAGGAGACTTTAAAGTAAAATTTTAATTTCTAAAAAAAAAACAACAAGACCAAACAGACAAAAAAAAAAAAAAAAGAACGGAACAAGTACCTGTAGAAAGTTTTCTAAGCTTTTTTGGTTAAAGGAGGAGCATTTCTGGAGTATACATATTAAAGAAACCTGACTTATGTCATTAGTAAATTTCTCAAGCATTAGCATTACCATTGGCTCCCTGCCTTGTGCAGCACAGGCAGGAAATATGAGCCAAATCATGTTTTACTTAGCAGTTGCTATAGCTTTATGCCTCTACAGATTTATGATTTGCTAAGTTTAGAATTGCATCAGTTAAGTACAATGTACTAAGAAGGGAGAACGTGGTTTATATGCTGTGACACATATACAAACGTTTCTTAAAGAAAAAAATCTTATGGTTACCTTAATGACATTGCCTTCCAGAAACGCACCATAACTTAATTTACTACTTATTTATTAGGATCAGGAAGAGGAGAGGGATGAAATTCCAGAGTTCTGTGAGCCTCTTGTGGAGCTTAGCGGACAGTTTAAAGTTGCCTCACCAAAATACAATGGTCCTTTGTTTCCTCCGGTGGTTTCTGCTCCTCAGCAGTCTTCTGATGTTTTGGATGAACTGATTAAAAGGAGAGAAACTATAGAAAACAGGTTGATAAATTGGTGAGTTGCAATACAACAAAGTGACAAGAAAATATGTATGAAAGACGTGACTCCATATGAATACCTTCCCTTCACATCACCTTCCTTCCCTTCTCCTTTTTCTTTTGAGCTACCTTGCGTTTTATGTCAAGAATGCTCCTTTGTGTACTTCTAGGTCTCTCGGTGTTTGCTGATAGCTAAACAGGTTTTATTCTGCTAGGGTGGAACAAGAAATAATGGCAAGAGTTATCAGTGGGATGTACCCAGTTCAGAAAGAAACCGTGCCCAGTGTTAGCACCTCAGAGAGTGAAGACAGTGACACTGTAACCTCTGATATTGGTATGTAGGAGTAACTGTTCTCATAATAGGTATGTAAAAAAATTACTCCCTTATATAAACGTGTGATAATGAGAGATAAATGCATTTCTCCCATGATGTCACTGCCCTTTGCTGCTGCCTTCTTTTATGATCCTGAGTTGCTTCCCTACTGTTGTTTACCTATCTGTAAAACGAAAAAGAAATAACTTTTTGCAAAGAAATCTTTAAAAGTTCATGGTGAATGAGAGAGTGACTGTAGTACAGTACATGCATTTTAAGAAGTGGGATCTGGATGTGTGCTGTATGTTTTCAGTTGAAGTTGCAGGTGGTGGAGGATTTCAACTCTTCATCAATGCTGGCGTGCCTGTGGACTCAGAAATGATAAGTCATTTTGTAAACGAAGCTCTCAGTGAAACAATTGCAACCATGCTGGGAAACAAGCAGGCTCAGAGAGCAGTTGCTACTACAAATGTTCTTCCAAGTACAATGATTATGATGGTAAGAGTCCGATTTACTTAAGCTTTCCTACTGAAGTTCTAAGGGATAATTTCTTTGTGGCATGATGGTTCAACTGTGCAAGACAAAAATGATGGAAAATGACTGATGAGCTGAATGTGCATGATTTGCATTTTTTGATTATTCCTTATTATACCCCAGCAAGCAACAAGATCATACCTATTTCATTTTTAAAAAGTGTTGAAAAGAAAAAATAAAAATTCCTTTGTGCTGCATGCAATATGCTGTATTTATTTATTTACTTTAAGGCTGAGCACAAAGCTGATTTCTAATGGGAAGACTCAGTACTTAATTTCATGTTGCCAAAAGGTAGCTCATATTATTTTCAACTAAAATAGCTGTGCTACTTTCTTGTGAAGAAATGAAATATGGAGAGATTAATTTGTATAAGAAGAAATAGAATCTGCGAGCAGTATTATTTTTGGTCTTGTGGGCTTCCATCCATTCTTTCATATCTGTTAAATTAGTACTAATTCTTTCTAAGTTTTCAGTTCAGTAGTTCTCAGTAAATGCTTAAATGATTAGTAGAGCTTCCTGTAATACAGGATAATTTTCTCTGTTGCCTGTGATAATGAAATGACAGCTGGCTCTTATTTTGAGAACAACATGGCTGCTCTACAATTTGGTGTTGTATAATGTCTTTGCAATGAACGTGGAAATTGCTGCACTTAGAAATCTAACTATTCAAAGCTTTGTCAAAAGTGAGATCAATTACTCTATTCTGCTCCAGTGCATATAGAGTGATACTTAGAAACCTCTTTTAATAACCATTCTATATTTACTAACAGTCCTCTTAAGCCTTCTTGTTTCTGTATCAGCTTAAACTGAAATGATCTTAGGCTGAAATGGTTGTTTCTCCTTACTATATATATTCAATTATACACTTCAAAGATCAGTTTTGTCCTTTTTGGCCCTTGTTTGATTAGACTAAATAAAGCAATCATCCGTATGTGTACCATTTTTCAACTCTTGCTGATGAGCAGCACTTTTGTTTTCCAATTTAGATTTGTCTTGACCAACAGGTAACACTAATATGCTAATAGACATTTTTAATAATAGTGTGTGCAAGGTGTGGTTTCCTTAGTGTCTTAGTTCTTTTTTTGCACTTCTGCTCAGATTATAGGAGTTCTTAAGTATGTAGTTTGTGCAGTCTTGATCTACCCCTTCTTGCTGTGAAGTTTCTTACCTAGAACTTTAGCTGCCCACTTAGAGAGTTCTTCAGTGTTCACAGTGTCACACGGTTGTGTGTGAACTGCCAAATGAGTTTGCATGTCCCGCTTCCGAGAAGAGTTTTTTGTTAAAAATCATGAGTCTGATGATTTATTATGAAGAAACTAGCCTGGAAGCCATCTTCTAGCCCCATTATCTTGTTTTCTTTATGAACTGTCAGAGAACAGGGCTGGAAAGACCCTGGAAAAGTCCATCATATTCCTCCATAGCAGGCTAAACAACAACCATCATACTTGCTTGTCACATTTATCTTCATCGCTGTCATTTTTTAAGGAACATCACAATTAAATGCTTATTTTAGCACTTTACTGTCTTGGCTGTTGCTTTCTTTGTATCTTCTCTTTAGCTGATTTTCTCACCATAAAATTATCATACTGACTCCATTTTATCTATGTAATGAAATACTTTCTCGCTTAATGTGACATTAAATGCCTTATTAAAATTGTATAATCATATAATTCATATTTAGACTGGACATTGTCACAGAATCGTAGAATACCAGGTTGGAAGGGACCTTAAGGATCCAACCTTTCTAGGCAAAGCATGACCTAGACTACATGGCCCAGCACCCTGTCCAGCTGAATCTTAAAATGTCCAGTGTTGAGGAATCCACTGCTTCCCTGGGGAGATTATTCCAAAGGCTGATTGTTTTCATTGTGAAAAAATTTAATCTAGTGTCCAACTGAATCTCCCCAGGAGTAACTTACGCCCATTACACCTTGTCTTTTCCACTGGACTCCTTGTAAAAAGGGTCTCCATCTTCTTCATAGCCACCTTTTAAATTTTGGAACATGGTGATAAGGTCTCCCCTAAACCCTCTAGTCCTGTGCTGAAGAAACCCAGTTCTCTTAGCATTTGTTTACTGAAAGGGTGGTCAGATGCTGAAACAGGCTTCCTAGAGAGGTGGTCAATGCCCCAAACCTGTCAGAGTTTAAGAGACATTTGGACAATGCCCTTAATACCATGCTTTACCTTGGTCAGCCCTGAATTGGCCAGGCAGGTGGACTAGGTGATCGTTGTGGGTCTCTTCCAACTGGAATAGTCTATTCTGTTTTATATATAATGATTTCCAAATGTAATCATTCTAATGCATAATTTACTTAATCTAAGCATGCTGCCTGGTGCCACTTTATGTTTAGATGGAGGAATTAGATCCATGAAGCATGTATCTAAGCAACAGCTGTTTCTGTTCTCTGATAACTTGCCTTTTGCTCTCAGCTATCTCTGTGGATACTTGTAAGATAGGAATTTTGCATTGAGATAATAACTGTGGTTATGGTTTGGTTTTTTTCCCTTCAGGATTCTCTTGTGCCTACTCCATTGCCAACACCCCAGGCCACACCACCACAGACACCACCTTCAGAAGAAGAATTACCTCTGGTCAAAACTCCAGAGTCTTCTCTGTCTCTTACAGAAATGAGTGGGGATGTTCATGAACATGAAAAAATTAAAGAAACAGGTAGTGGAAATAGTAATTGAAGTTTAGAAGTTGCAAATATGCTTTAATCTACTGCCTTTAATTTTCATCTTCAAAGACATGTCATCTCTCGGTAATATTCTTGAGGCTATAATTCAAGTGGGAACTCATGTAATACAAAAAATGTGGGCTAATTCATATGAAAAGCAAGCATCTTTCATTTGGTAACAGTTCTGTTTTCAAACTTAATGCACATTTCTATTGCTTGTGTGATTTCCACCGCTCCCAGCCACTCTACAATTTTTCACATCAGAAAAATAGCTGTCTTTTGCTCCTTCCTGTATTTCTAATGTTAATTAAGCCAAATTTACACTCTCCAAGTAAAACAGCTTAGTTTTTAAAATGCAGATCAGTCTCCCTTATTAAGGGAAGTAAGCAATTGAGGTTTTATTCTAGCTCCTTCAGATGCCAACACTATACTTAAAAGAAACTAGTCTTAATCTAGTCTTCTCTTCATAATTATCAAAAGGTATCACAAAAACAAGTGCTCAGTCAAACTGATTATCTCTCTACCTGAGATTTACTTCCTGCATTCCTTTCTGATCTGTAATTTGACTTTACCCATGCAGGAGTTGAGATTCCAGCTACCACTAGTCATGTTGGCACACCTGTGGTTACCCCTGTCAATACACCACCTAGAACGACCACACCAAGCCCTCCTGCCTCAGAATGGGTCTCCAAAGCTGCAAAAATGGAAAGTCCAGAGCCCCCAAACCCATGGGATGATGCAGAACTTCCTCTGGAAGAAGAGAAACCCAGTTATTTAACTGAAGAACCATTCTGTCCCAAGGCTGTGTGAGTTGAACAGGCTGCACAGTTTTCTTTCTACATATGTCCTCAAAAAGTCAGTGGAAAGAAATGCTTAATGTATATATCAGGAGGCACTGAGATATGCCTGGATTCTTTTTTTAATTGTTTGTCTTTGATTTTGGAGAAAAATGTGGTATCAGGACCTTTCTCAGGATTTATCAGTCATTACTCATTGTCTTGCTGAACGTTGTACTTAGTAAATTCGTATTGTTACACCTGCCAGTAATAGATGTAGTGACAATGAAATACTTCTATTGTCTGAGTGGGAATACACATGGTAATTTTTAATTATAACCAGAAATTAATTATGTTAGTTAACCATATTGATTCTTGGTGTACTCTGTAAAATGCTGTGCTCTTTCATTTGAAAAAAAAATACTTGCAAATCAATTTTTCAGTATTGATTAAAGACCTTAGTCTATATTTTTCAGTGCATTTTGGTGTATTCATAATGCATATTCTTACATTATAGTGAGATGTCTGTGGCTAATGATGAGGAACCAGAGGCCTTGATTTTACCATCTCAGCAGTCGTCAGCAAGGCCTTTCGAATCGCTTCCTTGCCATCCACAGGTTCCATCACCTGTGCCTACAGTTAGTTCTGGGCAGTCCACGCAGGAAAGCAGCCTTACCCTCACGGAAACGGAAACAGAAACTGCAGACAGACCCATCTCAGAAGGGGAGGTACTCTTCAGCTATGGACAGGTGCTGGCTGCAAGAGGTAACTAACTAGACAAATCTATGAAAATTAGAATTTGGATTAATCTTTTTTTTTCTCTATAAACTTCTCTTGCAGTTTACTGAAGTTACATTTCATACGTTTTCTGATAAAACTGCAAGCATTGACCTGGTCCTTAACTTTCAGTTCATGGTTTTGGATTTAAGAGACCTCATGTCTCTCTTTTTTTTTGTCTCTGAACAAAATGCTTCTGCTTATTAATGAAGAAAGTTTAAATCTGCTCTTTTGTCATAAGATCAACTTGGAAAATAATTGGGGCTGTCTTGCACCAATAACTGGGGCTGTCTTAGTACTATGTGGAACTAAATACTAAATTTTTATTGAAGGAAAGGTGTAAGAGCAATTTTCTTGGAAGCTGAAAATACGTCTTTGTAATGCACATCCAGCAGTAGGAATTTCCAGCTTTACTAAAGCACTGTGTTGCAATTATTAAAGAATGTGGCCTTGGCTTTCTTTCATATAACTTGCATGCTTTTTAGCGTTTGTAACTTAAAATATTTTTCAGCCTTAGGAGGAGGAGGATTGTCTCTTCCAAACCTTGCTGAGAGCTTAACCAGCACTTTACGAGATGCCAATGAAATGGTAAGGAAATGTTTCACAAGGAAATGGAGTTAGTGGTATTCTGCTTTAAGCATCTTGATAAATTGGATGTGCTTTAAACATTTTCAATTACAAACTTTTTGAATTTATGGTTTTAAGCTGTACTCTCACAAAGAAGGTTAGAATTTCAGAGGTCCAAAGAAAAAAAACATGTTATGCAAACTAATTTATATTTAAAAAAAAACTTGAATGATTTATATACTTCTGTAGGTGAGAGATAGCTAATATGCATTTTAATTTCTTTGTTGTTTTCAGTTTTAAGACATCTTAAAAAGAACAGAACATTTTTATGCTCTGAACTCTTTCAGCTTTGAGCCATCTTTTAATTACTTGTGTGCTTAAATTATTAAAGTAGGTTAGCTGAGGCTGGAGTTAAAGCTGCTTAAAACTTCAGTATAGTTTCTTATCTAATGTTTGCTTTAGTCCATTGTCCTGGAAGCCTCCCAAGTCAAGATATTCTCCATTCCCTTTCTCTTTTAACAATTTCCTTTTCCTCAAATGCTTGGACTTTCCCTCTCTGTGTAATGCCTCTTAGTAGGGCATAGCTGTCATATAAATAATAGTATCAGGTGGATCAATACTATGCTTAGACCAAACTGTTTTCTTTATGACAGTATTGGTTGGAAGGGAACTCCAGAGGGATTTCTAAAAATTTCTGGATGGCCTCCGCATCTTCTGGAAGATGTCCAGATAACTGAGATCTGCCATGAGGATGAAGACCTGGAATCATCAGACCCCTGTTAATGTTTGTAGAAAGCCTCCTTGTACTTTTGTTGGTCTGAAGCAGACCTTGCCCACAACACCCCTAGTGTTCCTTTCCCCTTTGATCTCGACTCAGACCATCAATAAACACATAGAGGTCTGTGAATTCAAGGAATGATTTGGTCTAGGACTGGAAATTGGCTGAGCTGCTGGGCTGAAAGGGTTGTCATCAGTGGCACAAAGTCCAGCTGGAGGTCCATCACTAGTAGTGTATGCTAGGGGTCAATACTAGCACTAGTGCTGTTTAACATGTTCGGTAATGACCTACATGATGGGACAGACTGTATCAGCAGCAAGTTTGCAGATGATGCAAAACTGGTTTATACACCACGAGGGTTGTGCCATCATTCAGAGGGACCTCACTGGGCTATAGAAATGAGCTGACAGGAATTTTACTAAGTTCATCAAGGACAAATGCCATGTGCTACAACTGAGGAGGAACAACTCCATGCACCAGTACATGCTGGGGGCTGACAGGCTGGAAAGCAGCTTTGCAGAAAAGAACCTGGGGATCCTGGTGGACAAGTTGAACCTGAGCCAGCAGTGTGCCCTTGTGGTAGATAAGGCCACCATCATCTTTTGCTGCATTGGGAAGAGCAGGTCAAGAGAGATGGTTCTTCTTTACTGAGTACTGGTGAGACAGCATTTGGAGTATTGTGTCCACTTATGGGCTCTCCAGTACAAGAAGGATAAGGATTTACTGGTGTGAGTCCAGCAAAGGACTACAGAAATGATTAAGGGATTGGTGCATCTGTAATACTGAGAGCTTGGATTGCTTAGCCTGGAGAAAAGAAAGCTCTGGGAGGAACTTAGGAATGTGTATAAATACCTGGTGGAGGGAAGTAAGGAAGACAGAGCCAGACTTTTCTGAGTGGTACCCAGTGAAAGACAGGAGACAGTGAACACATATGGAAATTCACGAAATTCCTTTTAAATACAGGAAATGTTTTTGCTGTGGAGGTGGCCAAATAGTGCAAGAGGTGCTCCCTTGTGCAGTTGGGTTGGACTAGACAATCTCCAGAGGTCCCTTCCAACCTCAATAATGCAAAGTTTAAATGTCCTAGAGTAGGAATCCACCTTTCTCCCTACCTATCCTTCCCAAACATTTCTACCATACATGGCCATACTTCGCTTGTGCAGACTTTCCCATGTAATATCCATGATTTTATTCATGTCATAGTTGTGAGACTGTGTGCTCTGAACTTGAAGATCTTTCTGTCTGTTGTCCAGATTTTCCGTGCGAGTGTATAGGCACCTGAAAAGAACACCCTTCTCTTGATCAAGACTGTAAAAGTTCCTTTTGTGGCCTTCCCTTTAGATGCCTCCTCTGTCTACCACTCTCTTAAATTCTGGGCTTAAGACTGTTATCAGGTGAACCTACATTTTAGTTCTTTTAATCAGGTTAGGCTTTCTAAGATGTTCTTCCTTCTCTTTGTCAGCTGGATTGTAACTCCTTGTAATAGTCTTCCATCCTCAAACTAGGCTTTCTGGTTGAGGAAGCTAAATCCTTGCTGGTGAGAGTAGTTCTGCAGCCAGATTGTTGTTAGTGACCAGTATGTGTGAGGATTTAACTGTTCCCTGAGCTTTGGAGGCCTAAAGGACCTTGTTCTTCTTTTAAGTATTGCAGTCTTACGTATCAAATAAAGACTCTGCATGTCTGTGGCTAAAAGGAGAAAGCTGTGTGTTGTCCGTTTGCTTATTTTTAAAAGCCTAGATTTTAATGAAACAAGTTCCCAGTGTGGAAACTGTAACAACTTATTTTAGTTCACAATTATGGTTTTTTTTTTGTTTTTTTTGTTTTTTTTAAATGTTAAGAATGATTCAAGTTATATATTATGATATTATGTAGATTTTGTTTCTTTGTTTTAGGATTATGATCCTCCCAGTGAAGGGCAAGTGGTGAGAAGACCAGATAAAGGCTATCACAAGGATCCTGTCCTGACTTTCTTAGCCAAATTAAATCAAGCACCTCTTGCTGCACAAGAAGGAATATACCATTTGGAGGTAACTTACAGTCCTTTTCCTTCCAATACAGTAGTTTTGAAGTGATACTTTCTTACTCAAAAGTAATATTTCAAAGCGTATCCTTCCTTTTGGCTACAGAACAGGTTCATACACTTCATACCCTGCTGGAAGTGATCCCACTTCTTTTGGCTGTGTTCTTGTGTAAACCTTTTTAAAAACACTGAAGATTAAGTGTTGTTACAGACAAGATAACTGTGTGTAGTATCACACATACCTAGTTTTCAAGGTGCGTATGTGATTGTTCCAGCGTACCAGATTTGTCCCGTCAATTTGAGTACCAGGGAAGTTTTCTGTCTCTTGAGCAGTATTGGTGGTGTGCTTAACAGTACAAGTTCACTGCATTTAACAGCCATCTGAGAGTTTTAGGGAGGTATGAAGAAAACTCAGAAAATGTCTACATGCACTTTTGCACATGCTGTTGATACCGATCTTGGAACAAAACCTCAAAAATATCCATATCCAGATGTCAGAAAAAACAGACTACCAGCAAATTGTAACTATCTGTATAACAAAGGATAACAGTCATTTTTTGCCACACATTTAAGTATTTTCTATGTGGAAAATAATAATTTGAACTGGATGTCTATTCTAACCAACATAGCTAGAGGAATGTTTAAATGAAGTGAACTTTGAATACTGCAATATGGTTCAACACTTTTATTTATGGCAGATCTTGGTTTTTGTGATTTTATTGATGCATATGCAGTTTCTTCTATCTGTCCTGCTGGTCAGTTTAGTCTAAATAATTACTAACTTCTCTCACCTCCTTAACTGTTCCTTTGTCTGTCTTTATTTTGCCTAAGGAGCTCCAGTGCATGGACTTAGTGAAAAGCTTTCTACAGTGTCAGCTCTGTAATTGTCGTGACATTTTCTCATCAGTACTGCCGATTACAAATGCACCTCTGATTTGCTTTTTCTCTTTCCCATATTTATGGATTGATCAGTCTGTCCATACAAGACACTAATAAACTTACCCCCACATCAGGCAAGATGTGTGCAAAGCATGCTTTTTCACTTGCAAGAGAAAGAATATTCTCCTATGTATTACTAATTTGCCTTAGAACGATACTGTGCACATGTGTGTATGTGTATTCAACCTGTTTTCCCGTGTAGAAACAAGCTGGTTTTTTTCTCTGGAGCTTTGAAAGTCAGAATTCAGAGAACAATCCCTATTTTAAATGCCATCCAAACCTACTTAAAAATTAAACTTTTTATCTGACATGCTGTACAACAGAGCATCAGTAGCTTTTACATGCTTCCAGTACTACAAGGTCAGGCAGTCAACAATGGCTGTATGTGTAACATTAAAGACCCCATTAAAGAGCTAAAAATGTAACTTAGGCTCTGATCAGGGAAGTGGTGGACAACACTGGACACTTAAGATTTGGCTGGACATGCTGCTGGGCCATCTGGTCTAGGTCATGCTTTGCCCAGAAAGATTGGACCAGATTATCCTTGAGGTCCCTTCCAACCTGGTATTCTGTGATTCTGTATGACTGATTCTGTAGACTTAAGTTTTTATATGTCTTAAGGATTAATGTAATTAGAGAACAATATGTGGTTTTAGAAGAAATACATTGGGGTTTTTTATATCTACTATTCTAATGTTGCTGTTCTGTATAGGATTCTGATGATAGTGTTGGACAGCTCAGTGAAGGTCAAAGACCAAGGCTGACCAGAGCAGCAGAGAGAATCCTAATGGGACATTCAGTTTATATGGACCATTCGACAGTTCAGACTTCTGAGAACAGACCACACCGTTCTCCATCTCCAGGGCAGCTTGCCCAAATTGGAGGTACAATTAGACTGTTACTTCTTCTCTGTGACATTTATGTGGATTCTGAGGGTCTTCTACAACAGTATCTTAAATAATTTCAGTGAATATGTTAAAAATCCAAAATTAAAAATTTAGAGGCGATTTCTGCAATGAAATCTTTTGCATTTCTATTTTGAGAACTGAATTTAATTCAAGCCTTGCCTTCACTCTTCGTCTATCATATTCTGTAATTTGAACAGAAATCATGGCAAGTGCCCACTTGCCTATAGAAAAGTTGACTTGTAAAGTATGTATTTTATTCTTAAGTCAAATTCAATTCTCAAAACCACTTAATTTAACCATTCTTGAAGTCAGTTTCCATAGGACAGGTATTAACACTGGCAGCTGAAGATACTTCTCTCTGTCCCCTTACACAGCACACCTGTTCATTGGTTTTATCACTCCATCAAGGTGATACTGCAGTGTCTCATAACGGGTAATATGTTTTAGCTTCATATATTCCTATAGCAATATGGAAATTCCTTTTCCCTTAGATGAGGGTAGCTGAGGCATACAAATAATAGCTTGCACAAAGTATTGCAGGGATGAGTTGGTATGGTAAAGCAATAATTTATTTCTTTTCAGTTGGAGCGAGTCATGTAGCCAATGGTCCATCCTTCCTCTCCCTTATTTTTTGATCCCAGTTTCTCTGTTGTTATCTGAAAATCGATTTTAGAAGGACCTTTTCAGGTATATATAGGGGAATGCCCTGTGCTTTTACATCTGTAATAATCCCATACTGAGTTGTGTTGCATTCTGATGATTTTTAACTTAGCTTCTCTCCCTCCCCACGAATGAATACTGTGCTGAATACCGGCACAGTATTCACTCACATTGCTGAGGAAACAACACTGTAGGACCTGCTTTCAAAACAAGAGTTTCTTCACATCAGGGAGGAACAGAAAATCTTGTTTCCAAGTTCTTTTGATAGTGAAGTCAACACTGAATAGGAAACAGTCTGTTTTTGAAGGGGGGGAATGGGGTGGAAGGGGAAGGAATGCTCTGTGATTGTTTCCACTTTTCTTCCAAATTTTTTTTATCTGTCCACTGGCATGTGAGACTGTATGTTCTTCAGTCTATTGCAAGTTAGGACTAAGAGCTATTTGCTGGTAGCCACAAGAGTTATAATCAGGTCCATAATTTTATTTTATAATTATTGTTAAGGGTAATATTAAATAATTGTTACACCAGTAGGTTTCAAAGTTCACATATTTCAGGGTGTGTATCTCTCTACATTTAGCCTTGCAGTGGATGCTCAGTTTCTCTGTCAGAACGAGTCACAGATAGATCTGTAAGAATTCTGGGGATTGTGTGTCTATGGGTATCTTCAGTTTTGTGATCAGTTTTTATTTGTATCGTGTAAACATGATGTCTATCTGTAGGATGGAGCAGGTGTTGTTTATGTAGGTATATAACAGCACCTTGATGATCAGTCTTTCGTTTATAAAAAGCCTTGTTTTCAGTGCCTAAAGTCATGGATATACAAACCAACATGCAAATGAAATGTGGCACATATAGTCTTAAAATGAACAATAATTACAGTTAATTAAACAATGATTATAGTTAATTAAGCTTAAAATTAATTCTTTGGCTCTCTATGATAGCAGAAGGCTAAAGTTAGTTCATGAGCTGTCAGTACATTTTTTATAAAGATGCTCTACACGCTTGCAGGCTGCAAAAGTATGATAAATGCTGGATTATATAGCAAATTATCCCTTTTAAAAAAGACTATATACCATTTTCTTTTAATTCAGACAATAGTGAAACATTTTCATGAAGAAGCCTTTCCAATCTCTTTCCAATATATGTGCTAAAGCTCATTAAGCATATAATGGTATGATGGACTATGCAGCTTTGAAGTTATTATAAATGCTTGCCATGTTAGAAATCTACAGATGATAAAACTGATTTATTTTTCAATTTCCACAGACTTGTATTTCTTATTTCTTTTTCCCCACAAGAACAATTTAAAGGATATACAATGAGCCACTTAAGAAGGAAGTAATTCACTTTCACATTGCGTGTCCCATTGCTGAATCTTGAAAAGCTCCACATCTTGCCACATGAGTTGACTGGAAGATTATTAGTTCAGTCCATCAAGGAATGTTTTTTATTCTTATTTTTCTCTCTTGGCAGAAGTTCTTGGAGATGCAGATACAGCTCGTGGTCCAATGCTTATGGCCGAACTGGAAACGCAACCAGTTTCAAATCCTGTTCTGCAAGAAGCCCAGTCAGGCTGCAGAGTAACATCTCTTTCAGAGGATCTGTCCCAGGTAAACCTAAGGATCTTTTCTATGACTAGTCAGAAAGTCCAAACTGAAACCTAGGAAAATAAATTTTCCTGTTTCACTGTGGTGACTGACACCACAGAACTGGTGCATTTAAGATACACAATCAGCTTAGAAACTGAAGCCAAGACTTCATGTGCATAATAAAAATGATTGTGCTTACCGTGACAGAATCCTTACAATATGCTTCTGTTAGGGTCAGACCTCTCATTTATTCTGTACTTCCTCACAGCTTCACTAGTCTTACAGGATCTAATACTATACATACTCAGTTCAGATGAGGCATCCCAATGTTTTAGGTGCTTCAAATACAGAAAAATAACATGATGGATATATGGAAGAGGAAGCAACAATAGAGGTTTGGCCTCATGAATTGTAACTCTTATTCAGCATTTCAGGAACTTCATTTGTCCTAGTAGGAGAAGGATTAGAAAGGCAGTAATGATGAGGTATCTCAGAATATTTGAAGGTAGATAAAGATCCTATTGATCTCTGCTTGAAACCTATAGGGTTAATCCGTTGCTACTTTATTAGTGTGTGCTGTTACCTAGAGATGATGGTTTACTTGCTGTGTGCTGTTACCTAGAGATGATGGTTTACTTGCTAAATAAAGATAAATTTAAATAGTGAGTGGAAAAAGCTGATGAGTCAGGAGACTGCTTTTTATTATGATTAGATTCACAATGTGTTTGAAAGTAGTAATACACTTACCTTAGTTGCTATGTTCCTGGATGCATTCTGTCCTTCTCTGATGTTCTATATTAAAAATAACCTAAAGTATCTTATGTTGACATGTCTTTGGTTTTATACTTTGAAACTTTGATGTCTATCATGCCACTGGTGTCTAAACTGTTCTTAAAAATGTCACTTCAGATGGTAAAGAGGATTTTAAATGTTACACCTCTTTCACTTTGAGATCATCAGAACATACTATTTCTTGGAATGATTGTTCACAGGCAAGACTGGATTCTGTTAAAGCACTGTGTCTGTTGGGGTGAAGCTCATATCCTTGTTATCACTTCACAAGCCAAAAGTAAAAACAACAGAGAGGGTAAAATATGTTTCCTTCTTTTAGCACCATTAACTGTGATTAAGTAACACAGTGATGCCTGCATCGAGTGCTGTGAAGAATTAGCTGATTTGGTCAGAATTCATTTTTGTTTGCCTGTGTATAGGCAAATGATCATATACCATGTGTAAGATTACCCATTACCCATAGTCTTACCTATGCAAGAAATGTAGTGTGATCTGACATAGTGTCTTTCATAGAAAATACACAAATAGTTACATACTATCTTTAGAAACATTTTCTTGCATCTGAACCTGTAGGGTGGAGGTTTTTGCCTGTTGACATGTAAAAAACTCAGTTGTCTTCCAAACCAACCAACCAACCAAACCCCTGAACTTTGTGTGGTCGGTTTTGTTTTTTTCCCCCAAACAAGAGAGTCTCTTCCTGTAAGTGAGTGTTCCTGATATAAGCCCATGAGAAACATCAGCTCTGTTTCTCACAGGCTAACGTTTTAGTTTTCCTATGTCGTGACAATCTTTAAGTATACCTTTAATCACAGTAAATGTCTATCCTGGATGGGGCAAAACCACGCTCCATAAGATCTTCTACTCGATCCATATGTCTTTTTCTGGAAAAACAACAACAAAAAAGCCTGTACCACATGATTTGAAGGCTTGTTTTGACAGCATCTATCTACCGTGTAACAGTGACAATGAACCTTTCCCTTAGTTTCAATTAGGGACGGCATCTGTATTCAGATCTACAGCTGGATTTGCTTTATCACCTGCCTGTGGGAAACAGCTTGTCTTGTGACATAGTATCAGCTAATAGAGCAAGAGATACTCAGGCTTCCAGAATGATTCATTGTATGCAATGTTTAAGGCAATAATCACTTTAAACTTCTTAAAACATTTTCACCCATCTTAGTCACTGACTCTCACATTGGTTGTTTCACATCGTATTTTTCAGCTCTAGGCTGTGTTTGCCTTCATTGAAATTAAACAATCAGCTGTATACAAATCCAGAAGATGAATCTGTTAGGAGCAAAACTGGGTTTTTCATGGTGTTTGCCAAGAGATTTGAAAAAATACGTGGTGTTTCAGATGGTGTCCAGCTGGCCCTTGGGTTTGGTATACCTTTGTTCTGATGTAACTGGGAACTATCCTCCTGGATCTTAGGGTTTGATGTGGCAAATCTTGGGTGGTTTCTGTGGTCTGTCTGAGCAGGATCCTCATTTCAGGGAGGTTGTCAGCAGTGTTGTGGAGCTGCCATATACATACTACTTGTTCTTTCCCTGGGACGGGTGTGTACCTCAGATTTTGACCAAGAGAAAGAACGTTGTCTTTTCATGTAGGGCAGGAGTCCTTTAGTCATGAAGAGTGGAGTCTGTGTGGTCACTTGCTGCAAAACAAATGACTTAAGTCATACAGGAATTTTCTTATCTACGCAAATTCCTTTTCTGTTCCCCCATTTCTGGCACTGGATTTTTTTGAGATTTATATACGCTTTTAGCCACTGTGAGACAGAATGCCAGACTAAATGCATCTTTGGTTTGACCCCTTCTGTCTATTCTTGTGCAACCATACAGGAATTGACTGTTATTTGTGGCCTCTTTGCCCCTGTGTTGTTAGCATTAAGAAGCAAAAGAATGACTAGGAGGAAGCTGGGCTCTTCCTATTCTAGATGAAGCATTTTGATTATGGGAGGGACATGAACATTGAAGTCATATTTGTTTGGCTAAACATTTCAAAGATGGTAAATCTAAATTATTTTAAGACCCAAATGCATTGCTAAAATTTTAGAAAACCAGTTGCAAAATATTTTCACAATATTCTTATAGAAGTATGAATGTTTTTATACAGTCAACATTTTTTAAGTGGGTTTGTCACTTTGGTATTTATTTTCATTAGCTTTTATTTTTAGTATTTCAAAATACATGGTGTTTTTAATCTTCAGGGATGTGTAACTGTAGGCTGTGAATCTACGTATTATCTCTCAGCTTCTGTTTGCACCTCGATTCAGTTTAAACTGGTTTCTGGTTTGTCTTATTAGAAATCCAAAACAAAGAAACACTTCAAATCGACTCATGAATATGCTGTGGTTTTGCTTATGTTTAATGTTCTGTAACAGTGGTGGCCTTTGATCACATTTCCATGAGACCTTCTTTCTTTCAGAAAATCATCTCAACTCTTTCTTGTCAGCTTTAAATGATGAACAGACTTGATCAACATCATGGTGTGTAGAGGTGCCCAATTTAGTACTAATCCTAACTGGTCTGTCTGTTTGTCATAGTGCCTTGTGGAGATGCTAGCTTGATCTCAGGTGCATTTATGTATGTTCACTTTTGCCAGCTTATGCTTATTATTGTGTGGGTGAGGTTGTGTTGGTCTTCCTTAGAGATGACATGCTATCTACTAGTGCAGCCCTCTCTATGCTTTGTTTACTGGGGAGAGTAAATAAGCATTGAGGAAAAGACAGTGGCTGAATGGCTTATGGTTTTTATTCCTCCTGATTTTTTGCCACACTGGCTTAAATGTTCGTTAAGTACATAAGAGGCAGTATCATCGTTGTTGAGATTTCTGTTATCGTGGGAGACAGTTGTTAGCTGAAAGAAAAGGGAAGCTCTGATTGCATAGTTGGCACCATGCTATTCTTTGCCAGACATAAAGATTGTCTTCTTTCCATTTACGTTTTTGGCTCTTAGTTTCAGTTGTGGCCTCCACAGTAGTGGAGGGTTTCTGTTATGGAACTGAAGTATACTTTCCTTTTCTTTCTTTTTAGCTTTCGGGGGTACCCGCAATACCACTGGTACTTTGTCATCACATCTTCAAGAGAACAGCAGTGCCATTGCTCCTCAGAGCATATAATTTTCCCAGAATTCATAAAGTAATTCTGTCCATAGGCTCCAAACGTTGTGTGATATGCAGAAATTTATGATCTTTCTTGTGTTCCTCCTTCTTTTAAGAATCTTCATTAAAAAAAAAAACACCTTATATTCATTCACAGAATCAACAGAATAACTGATGAAATCAATTTTGTCTGTCTTAGAGAATCACAGGATCATAGAATGGTTTGGGTTGGAAGAGACCTTAAAGCTCATCCAGTTCCAACCCCCTGCCACAGACAGGGACACCTTCCACTAGAGCAGGTTGCTCCAAGCCCCGTCCAGCCTGGCCTTGAACACTGCCAGGGATGGGACAGCCACAGCTTCTTTTGGCACCCTGTGCCAGTGTCTCACCACCCGCACAGGGAAGAACTTCTTAATATCTAATCTAAATTTACCCTCTTTCAATTTCAGTACATGCCCTTGCAAAAAGTCCCTCTCCAGCTTCCAAAGCTTAAGAATGCCTAAGTCTTCTAGGATTCCATGACTCTGTTTTGCACTTCTCGTGTTTCCTGTCTACATGTAATAGAATGTCCTTGGGCCATGATTCCTGTTCCAGTTAACACGTAAGATAACAAGTGTACTTGACAAAAATAATGTCTCCCTTTTTAACATCCAGAGTGTTTGTTGCTTCTAAGAATCTGTTTTCCTGTAGGCATTGTTGCAGACCTAGGTCCTGAAAAGCAGAAAATATTTTTTAAAACATGGTCATAAATTTTATACTTGGCACTGGTTTTCCAACTGGTGTGCTGAAATTTTGATTTTTCTTTTCAACTTGCTCTTTTTACTTAGGATGACAATACCTAGGAAGAAGTCCTGGGTATTGAAGAAAGCTAGAGAAATCTTACGTTCTTTCTGCCACATACTTTGAGTAGAAATTGAGGGTCTTCTTGTGTCTTCAGGCCTAAATGGCACTTTGCCATACCTCCTGCTCCCAGGATGTTTGTCTAAAGGAAATAACACTGTAACAGGCTAATTCAGATTGAATTCTTTTGAAGTCAAAAGGAAGGAGAACAAGTGCATATCCTTTAATGAATCTTTAAAAATCTCTTTCTTGAAGCTCCACATAATTCTACTGTGCTTTTACATCAAAAGGTAGTTTTGTAATATGATTTTAATGTTTGATATATAGGAGGAGAGCCAAGAAGCTGCACAAGTTGAGACTGTGAAACCCCGTGTTATTTATGTGAGAAGGAAGTCTGAAGAGATGCATCCAGAAGGTAAATCAATGTCAGTAAGCAAACATAGTTCTTTCAGTTAAGCACATCAATTTTAAATGTTGTTGTGTACTGATGTATAATAAAGTTCTGATGTTTGTTTTTTTTCTAATTTGGTTTTCATTACTACTAAATTCTCAAAATTTCCAAATGTTTATATATTGTGTCTATAAATCTACATGATTATGATATTGTTGAGGTGCACTGAAAGGATTGGAAAGGTATCTGCATGTAAGTCATCAGAATCCTTGCATTTAGGTATTTTTTTAAATTTTTGTTTGCCAAGAGCATTACAATGTGCATATTATGTAGTCCAGTGAATCCTAATTGCTTTAGAGAGTGCTGTTCAGCAAACAAAATATTCATACTGTTGTGATAGATGGGAGTGGTTCATGTGCACGAGAAAGTGCAAGGGCACTAGAGAAGAACTGAAAGATAATAAAGATCATGCAAATGTGAAAAAATAAAAATAGAGCTTTTCAACGCTGAAATGGCCTGGTTTGAGATGGGCTTCAAGCTAGCGTGTTAGTGACCTTCTTTTGTGAAGGACACGATGTATTATCTATGCATAATTGTGCTATTTTTGGAGATTGCTTAACAGTATTTGTTACAAGTGTTAGGGATGTTGCATGAGAGGGAGAGAATATTTTGTTTCTTGTAGTTCAAGTCACTGTTGAAATAACAAACTGTGCATATTACTGCCATATTTAATTGTTGTAACAGATAATAAGTTTGTGGAGGTGGCAGAGGGAGATATACAGCAGTTTTAATGTTACATGCTAAGAACAGGAATCTAAAACCTGCATGTCCAGAATATATGCAATTATAATTGCTCCACCCTAGTATAGACAAATTCTTCCTTCAAACCCTTTTAAAATAATTCATTGAACTTCCTCCATTATTTTTTTTAAATATCTAATAGAATTATAATTCTGATGGAATTATTTTGCTTCAAATATTTCTAACTGGTAAGAAAAGCCCTAGGTCAGTGTTATTGGTCATGGGACTTACGACCTAATTTCAAAATCATGGTTTACATATGAAGAAAGTTTTGGATAAAGTAAAACTTAACTTCCCTGGACAATCAGTGGAAAAACTTACAGAACTGAAGTGGCACACCTTAATGCATGTGTGTGTTCTGTTGGAGGCATATTTATCAACATGTGGTTTTAAAGTGGATAAATAAAGACTTAATTTATTAAAAAATGGGGGCTAACTCTAATATTAGTGGAAAATATTACAATAACTTTTTCTAATAGGAAGAACTGTGTATTTCTTCTGGTATTCAGAAAATCCAAATTCCCTCAGGAAAGAGAATTCCTAAGAAGTTTAGCATGACCGCTAAATTGCCAAAAAAGAAATTATGTAGCAGGTCTGCCTTACAGGATCAACCTGTTCCCAACTTTAAGAGCAATTACAGGAATCTTCCTCCTCTTCTTCCTAAGACTTGCTATTAAGCATCAGAGAGGAGGAAAGGGAAGATAGTCTTTCCACACTATACTTCATGATTTTACACCTTAACTTTGTCTTAAAGGGTAATAAGGCAGCACTGTCAGCTTGTATCATTGAACAGGGTCTTGAGAGAGTGAGGGATTTAAATGGAGTAAAATACTTTTTTAATGAATCTATTTTCTGCAATATTTATCTTAAAAAAAAAAATTAAAAAATAAAAACATTACCTGTACTGTAATACAAAGTATTCAGGCACAGTCCAGCTACGTCTGTGAGTCAAATGACAATGTTTGACCACGAGATGGCAGTAGTCAATTTTCTTTGAAACAACAAAAAAAGATGATTTATATACCAGGATAATTTAAATCTCCTTCAAAGTATACATATTTAACGAGCCAATAAAGATCTAGAGGATTTGCAAATGGAAATAACTGTCTGTCAGTTTTAACCAGAAGGTCTTGTCTCTATTAGCTTTACCACAGCAAACTTAATCAGGCAAAAAGTTGAACGTAAAAATTAGTAAGAATCATTTGAAAGAAAAATGAGAACTTACAACATGATAAGAGAGTGTATTTTCAAATACAACATTTTAAACTAAGCACATCTGTTACTGTAAGTTCAAAGTACCCTGTTGATAAAAACTTCCTGTCAAATGATTGCCTTTACTGAGATGGCAAGAGACAATGAGTACTTGCCTGAAAAGTGATTATATCAGTATTAGAGCTTAGAAAACCTAAAGCCCTGAAGTGAAGTGTGAATTCAGGGTGTTGGGAGAAAAGGGAAATTGTTTTGGACTTCAAGTTGGATGTAAAAAAAAAAAAAAAGCTTTTTTCATTTAATTGATAAATCCATGACAAGAGTTTTTTCATGTGTTGTCTATGGTCATAAATATATATATGGTAGAAGTTTCTTTTGTTGTTTAAAAAAAATTGTAGTCTAGGGTGAACATGTGTTTTTACTGAAAGAAAGTTGATTGATGTCTTCTAATGAAAGTTGAAGTTCAGTAGGACTGTTACAATATCATGCCTGAAAGGGTAATGTCTCCTGAAAGTTACAATTGAAAATAAACCCTGAATGTATTATTAATTGAAATGTGTGCCTTCTGTAGACATAGTGGAGACAGTGGTTTGAAAACATACATTCGTAGTATATAATATACATGCATATATATTTTTGGCTTTATTATACCCTTTAATCTTTGTACCATTCTTTCATATATCTTCATAAATTTAATATGATAGTAATTGTTGTGGTTGGTGAATGCACGTATTTCCAGAATGGAAACATTTTCAGGCTTACATTAATATGATTCAGAATTTTTAAATTAAAATGAAAGAACAGGTGGCACTGCTTGCCTGCAGAGCATTTTAAAACTTTAATATGAGCAGCTCAGAACCAAGAGATAGGTGTATCTTCACCTAATTATTTTTCTACAGCACAGACTCTCAAAATGTGACCTAGAGAGCACAACTTCATGATAGCAATTCCTTTTTATCTCTAGCTAGTGAATTATATTCAGGTGGCCATAAGTATATAGAATCATAGATCGGGACACTGAACAATTGGCTTTGTTGCCACAGAGAGATTGCAAAATTGCTTGTGGGAGGAGATGGTCTGTGCAATAAATGAATAAGAGAGCAAGAAGCCCTTAAAACAGTCTGCATAAAAAAATAAAGCTTTCAGAGTCCCTGTTCAGTATTGAAAATGCGCTACTTCTGTGTTAACACTGACATTATGCTGTATTGAAACCTGTAATACTGAAAATATGGCTATGACTAAATAATTCTTTGCCTCTCTTCTTCAGCCAGGAATTGCTCAGAGTTAGGTTTTGGGTTATTTTTTCTTGAAACTATTGCAGCATGAGGCAAATCTCTAACAGATGCTTCAAGGAAGGAAGATGATTAAGATAAGGCTAAGGGTCTTTTTTCTTTTCTTGGAACTGGGACTGTTTTGGTCAAAACTTAACAACTAACTATTCTCCTGAAAGTTTACTTTCTCCTTAATATCCTGCTGTTTCTCTTTTCAGACTGAATTTCACTAAAGGTTTTTGCTAAAGACTGTCCATACCACCCTGAAAATAGCAGCTAATGAAGCAAAACAGAGCTTTTCTTTCACACTGTAGAGAGCACCACCACAGACTGAGAGGTAGAAAGAGTTTACGTAGCTTGCATTGCTCCTTGAATTTGATTAATTTCTGAGAGGAGATCTTGGAAACTGAAGAAATGAAATCAATTAGCTATAATTATGGCATTTTTCAAGCAAATGTCCTGTTAGAGGTTTATGTAAGGTTTTTTGGTGTCCCTTCAGAAATCTTACTTCTGATCTATTTTGACACTAGTTTTCCTGTACAGTTGCCTCCCTGTGCTATCAGATGGCTCATTGACATAATTCAGTTAATGTATTTTATGTTTGGCCAAGTCAGGAAATACAAAGCTGCATTTCCCACAGAAACTCTGTCTTGCCTGTAAGTGGTAATTAGCTTTTAGGTGCTCCAGGTGGTTTAGAACAGCAGTTCACAAAGAGTTTTCACTTGCCTTTTTTTTTTTTTTTTTTACATATCTGTAGCAGATATATGATAGCCCATGCATTAGAAAACATGCGTCTGAGTAATAAGTATGCATTTTGCATAATATCCCCACAAAATCTTCAGTAGCCACACTGGAGAGTTTCTAGTTTGAATTACTGTAAGTCAATATTTAGTTGTATTACACTACGTTTGGAACAGGAGTTTTGAATTTCTTGGCATTTGTAAATACTATTTGTCTGTTAAGATGTGCCATTTATATCTATGGTTGCTTCTTTTCCCACCAAGTTACTTTAGTTATTTTTCAGACAAATGTTAAAACAGAATTTTGATTTTTTTCATAGCTTAAGGCAAGGTCTTGTGTAGAATTGTTACTGTAGACAATGATATCCTTCTGCTCTGGGTGTGTTCTGCTGCTCTGGGAGTGTTCTGCTACTTCAAGACAGGGTCCTTAGAAACCAAGCACCAGGAGCTGCTGTGGGTTTCATGGAACTGTGCACATCTTTCCACTCACTCATTCCCAAAAAATCTTCTGGTAAATGGTCCCCTAGTCTCCTAGATACATCATTTCTCCCCTCACTTTTTTGTGCAAAAGGCAGGAACTGCAGGCAGGTGAAGCACGTGTCTCCCTGGTATGATTTTTAGACTCCTAGAATGTAATTTGATTTTTTTGAGGCATCTAAATTAATTGAAATTCGAATAATCAAATGGAAAAATGAATCCCCAAAAAACCCAATTTATACTTAAAGAAAACTGTGCCATGCAGGCTTATATTGCCTTACAGTCTGAGGATTTCCTACTGACAGGCATGCTTGGGTAGAAGTCATTCTCCTCTGAAGTCCTGAGACACAGGTTATATTCTTGTACCAAGTCCCTCCTCTGGCCTATACACAGCAGCAGGGATTTTCACTGAAATTCCAGCACTAGTTGGGGTTTTTCTTTGGAAAGGGAAAAAAAAACTTATTCAAAGTGGCATGATCACTACTTAAAGGATTACTTCCTATGGAAACTGTCATATACTTGGATT